TTTTCATGGCTAAAAGTGATCACTTCCGAGTTGTATTCCGAAAACTCTGACACAGTAACGATGCAAAGGCTGCAAGGTACATGTTTTTGATACTTTTCTGTGTAGCTCGAGGTATCTTTTTTACTGCAGGTACTGTAAGGTACAGTTAGACATTCAAAATCAAAGTAAACCGTAAACAGTTTTTTGTCTTGCTTATGTAATGCCTTAAACTCAATGACTCCTGGATCCGGCATCTTGACTAACTGATTAATTCCTTGTTTACAGTTTTGGTAGTGAGTCTCATGGTTCTGTGAAGATACAAAACCATGCATACATTTTCGGCAGTAAAACATCGTGTGATGATGCTTAGTGCGATGTCTCATGAATGCGTTAAAATCTTTGATCAGTAAATAATGAGCAAATCCTTCATTTTCCAAGTAGAGTAGGTCAACTGGTTCGCCAATTTCACTGCCATGTTTTAACGGCAAAACACATTCTTCCTCAACACACCACTGGAAAACAGAAATTGAGACCTTATTCAACTCCTCAACTTTTGCTATATCTTTGATCTTTACTGGGAATTGAACCGTACCCATATTTATCTTCCCGATGTGAGACAGATACTTTGTGTGTCTATCAATATTGGAGCCTGTTGCAGGATAGAGCTTTGCCAAAAGGCAATACAAGAAGCATTTATTGTCTGAGGACTTAATGTTTAGAACTGATCTCATTTTACTTAGCTTCTTCGGAATGGAAACGTTGCCTGAAGCAGAAAGTGGAGAGTATTTTGCAATTTCGATATGTGCCCATTGCAATTCGTCAAAAATCCAACCACTTCCCAATCGTTCGTAGGTGTCAATTCCATGCCGAATATAGCTCTTAGCACGTGACAGAAAGTCATCAACATTGTCTCCTAGTAGTAAGGGTTCACAAATTGACCTGAAAACCTTTTCAGATTGTCCCTCTTCTCCATTGACATGCTTGTGGAATGATAGGGAAATGACTAGCTGTGCTTTAACAGGATGTGACTGTAAAATTTGGATAATCTTTTGCTTAGCTGCAGAGCATGACTCCAAAAGAATTGTATCATAATCTGAACTTTTCGCAATGCTGAGATCAAACGACTTAAATTAATAAAGTACCCCGAAACTGAACTACAGTGCTCATCATTGTCCAGATGTTCATGAATCCCAGAGAAGCGATTGCATAAAGATTCATCGATCTGAGAGCGACACAGAAGCTCATGCCTTGTCAATTTGTCCGAGCGAAACAACTTTTTACAGCTGTTGCAGGTTTCTTTGCTGTTGTGTGTCGGAAGATGATGTTTTAGATTATCAGCCCTCATCCTCTTGAAACATACCGGACACTCTTCAACTTGATGTTTGCCATGTTGGCTTTTTGCTGAAAATCTTCTCTTCATTTCTGTCGAGAGCACAGAAAATCAAACGTAACGAAAAATGCAGTTTGAGAAATGAGCTGATGAAGGTCTCACTCCCCTTATATAGTCGATTGCAGAAAAATCAACTATTACTGAAAAGATCAAGTGTAAATCAGGATTTTGTCCTTGACCAGTTCAAAAACAGCAAAGAGAGCAGGTAAAATCAAACGTAACGAAAAGTGCAGTTTGAGAAATGAGCTGATGAAGGTCTCACTCCCCTTATATAGCCGATTGCAGAAAAATCAACTATTACTGAAAAGATCAAGTGTAAATCAGGATTTTGTCCTTGACCAGTTCAAAAACAGCAAAGAGAGCAGGTAAAATCAAACGTAACGAAAAGTGCAGTTTGAGAAATGAGCTGATGAAGGTCTCACTCCCCTTATATAGCCGACTTCAGAAAAATGAACTATTACTGAAAAGATCAAGTGTAAATCAGGATTTTGTCCTTGACCGGTTCAAAAACAGCAAAGAGAGCAGGTAAAATCAAACGTAACGAAAAGTGCAGTTTGAGAAATGAGCTGATGAAGGTCTCACTCCCCTTATATAGCCGACTTTAGAAAAATCTACTATTACTGAAAGTGTCAAGTGTAAATCAGGATTTTGTACTTGAATCAGAATTTTGTACTATAACAAAAATGTATGCAATTGACGAACAATAATTATCCTATAAACAAATTATTAAAAAAAGCTCGCTCAATTACTGACAGTGCTTAACATTTGCAATTGACTTGGTACTAGTTCAAACTACATGCATCTCACATTACTCAGTTAGATTAATGGTCATACTGCAGTGCAAGGCTATTAGATTGTAAGCCGGGTTCGAATTCGCCTATATCTTTATATTGATCACTGCCTACTACATCTTACATTTCTCAATTTAGTGGGAGTTCCCACATACATTTGGATGGAGAGAACGCTCTCCTAATTCCGGTTTTTCACGGGAGTCGACCCCGAACTGCGATATAGCTGACTCATGGCACTGGAGATAGACTAAGATCTCTCTAACCGAGCCGTCAACATCAGCCTTATCACAGTAAATTTTGATTGCTTTTTTTTGAGTTTTGTAAGAGTAGCTTGACACAGATTTGAACACTGGATGTTCCGATTAACTGTCTGATAATTACAGGTGTACGCCACAGAGGGGCCCAAATTGATTCAATTACAGTGATATTTACAAACATATATAGATATATTGCAATGTTATTATGGTGTATCATGTTACCAATGAATTTGGTGCCTTTCCTAATAACAATTATGACGTGTACATTGCACAGTTATGTTTTCACCTACTGTACACTCTTGTAACTGTCATAACCATTTGCAGTTATGTAATAATATCTTGTTGCATAGAGGAATATTGCTGCATCTACTGTTTTAGGCTGAGTTAATTAGTTGAATCTGGTTAGATTGATGGTAGCCAGCTGATTTCATTTAATTTCATCATTACACTGATAAAAATCTCCCCCACCCTAAGTCACTCTATCCTTTGTAAACTTATAAATGAGAATATTCCCTTATTGAAATCAGTCGTTAAGAAATGTGACATGATCGTTAAGTCTTAAGTACTGAAAATTGCTGACGATTGACATTGTATTTTTAAATGTGTATGATTTTTTAAGTTTCAAACGGTTTGTCTTATTTCTCATAAAGTTTATTTATGATATCTAAATAATATAATAATTTCACCGTTACACTGATAAAAATCTCCCCTACGGTAACCCTAAGTCACTGTGTGTAAGCGCTATACTAGCAGCAGGGGGGGGGGGGGCTAGTCCTACCAGTCACAGAGTGAATATAACCAGCCGAAGCTATACCAAATCATAGCTTGGTAACTGATCGACTGGCTCTCGACCGGATTCGAACCTGGATCTTCTGCTTGGGAGGCAATTGTGTTACCACTACACCACCCGGCCGACAAATTATTATTGATTATGTGACATTACCATATAAGGAAATTGGGTAAATGGTGCCTAACTTTTAGGTGATACAGCGGGGCCATATTGTATACTACTTCAGAGATTGCGAGCAACAAATTTTACCATCTCTGATATAATAATGTTTATTTGGGTCCTCTTTGGCTATCTGTTTCATCTCCAAGACCAACCGTAGATGGATAGCTCGATTTTCGGGTGATTGATCTACAGAAATGAAAACAGTTTTATGATCCTGGCCTTGGCACTGTCTCAGATTTTTGGCTTTTACTAATAGAGTAATATCTGATAAACGGTACTACAATTACCTAACGAAACTTTGACTGGTTACGTCTTGTCAGCTTCAAAACGTGGGTTTTCTCCAACCTGCTGAAAATTCTGTCAACTTTATCAGACAGCATCTCTTCGTCAGTCTCGTTTAAACCAATAATGAGCACATTCCTACTGCGATCCTCTTCAGATTGAACATTCCTAACAACGTTCTTCAAGTTCTCTGGCGTGAAAGTATGGCAGAGCTGGGGAAAAAGTTAATTCGGTTGAATTGTTCTCTAAAGACTAGCAATAGGGCCACGTGATGGGTTTAAAGTTGGAAGTAACTACATTGCTGATTTGGACTTCGCCGATGACCTAGCAACAATTACTGACAGCTTCAGCGAAATGGCCGCCTTTGCCAAAGCATTTCTGACATAGCAGCCCGTTATGGTCTCCTTATTAACATCGGAAAGACCAAATACATGTCCTATAACATCCCGCGACCTGTCAACTCAGACGATAGAGTCTTTATTAACGGCAACCCTTTAGAAGAAGTTCATGACTTTAAGTATCTGGGATCCTTTATAGCCTCAACAAGCAGAGACATCAATGTCAGGAAAGGCCTCGCATGGAAAGCTTTACAGAGTCTAGATGCTTTTTGGAAATCTAATATGTCCAGGAAGATCAAGACTAAGATTTTTCGAACTGCAGTAGAACCTGTTCTGCTGTATGGTGCAGAAACCTGGACTCTTAAAAAGGCTGATATCAGAGCACTAGACGGTGTTTATACTAGAATGCTACGAAGGGTCTTTGGTATCTCATGGAAATCACATACACCTAACTCCGTTCTTTACGGAAAGATTCCATCGGTGACAGATACTATAAAGACACGAAGACTTCGTTTTGCAGGACATGTCTACCGTCTACAGGACCAACCTGCTCAACAACTCCTTTTCTGGCAACCATCCTATGGCCAGCGTTATCGAGGACGACCACATAAGACCTTCCCGGACGTCCTACTTGAAGACACTGGAATGGAACCTGACCAGCTGCGTTTACTCATGTGTGATAGGGATAAATGGAGAGAAGCGTTGACACGAAACTCGTTCCAGATTTCATCTGGATCGACCTAGGCAGGGCAGGTAGGTTCTCTAAAAATTTGGGCATTGAGTTTGGGCCAAGCTTACGTACCTAATTTTTTAAGATACAGATAACAGACCGATATATTATATATAGGTATTATCATATCGGCAACGTGAGTTATATTATGCATTTCACAGTTTCTGCTCACATAGCTAAATTAAGTTAAATTTGATATAGAATACATTCTGCGAATTGATTCATAATACATATTTGAAATGTTCCCGGTTCGTATTCTGAGAAAAGAAAAAAAAAACTGCTTTATAAAATTATAAAACGTGAAATGAGAACAACACAGAATAACAATATTATACACAGAAATATCATAAATTCATTATTCACAACAACAAAAACCTGTGTGAAATAACTCTATCATTATATTATCTGTATAACCAGTCCAAATGTGTAAGAGCTGGTAATATTCTAGTTCCGCTAATACACTATGATAGAGTTGGGGAACTTATAGTCTTCCTTAGACCAGAGTGTAGATAAGAGCGACGAGGGGGAGGAGGAAGGCAGTGATGGTGGTGGCAGAGTTACACCCATCTCCTTTGCACTCAACACATGTGGTGTTAGCGACACAGGGTCCACATCCAGCGTGAGGGCTTAGGTATTCGGCGGCGGCAGCTTTCTCGGGACTGAAATTGTGAAGTTTATTATTTATTATTTATTATAATTAAATGGAATTTTGAATAAAACTACCATGAATACAATGACAGAGTGTGAGACTACTGCCATTAGACTGAGGAGATTTTATGTTCATTTTGTTCCAGCCTGTTTAGGTGTAATTTAGATGAAGTCTCAAAACAAGTTAAGATTTAGTCGTAATAAACTAACCTGTTGCAGATAGCTTCGGTTGCTTCCAGTCTTTGGCAAGTTGTGGCGTTGACTGCTTGGGCAAACACCTTCGTTGCTGCGTCATATGCGAAATTGTAGCACATGAAGCTCTTGCCGGCTGCTTGAGGAACATTGCAAGATGCATTAGTTGCACCGGTGCATTCCATACAAGTTGCATCTTTAGTTCCTTCAGCACAAGCTCCACATGCGTAATCAACACCAGCTGAGAGTCCGGTGTATTCAACAAACTTGGGCCTGAAAAATAAGGATATATTCATCATATTATTATCATCATACAATTTATCTAGTATTCCTAACTAAACTGTTTCATAATCAACGAGATATAATGTCTAATATCATTTGTATTTTCAATATTGCTTACATGCTACAAAGAGTTGCTGCAACTCCTCCATCTGCGGGGGCAGGGCAAGCAGCAGAATTAGTGGCGTTACCTTGGTTACACATAATAGCAGTGGGAGCTGGAGGATCTTGGGCAACTGAAAATACGGAATTGTAGTTAAATCATTGGGATAAAGTTCAGACGAGTTAATGATAGAATAGGGAATACTGTTTCAATACTGTTATAATTAATGTTCTTGATAATAATATGTTGTATAAACTGAAAAATATAAAGCACATTAAAATTATAATGCAGTGTGAATTGTAAATTATTAGTTTTTAATAATTGTAATATTAAGTTACCTGCGGCGACGATCAGGCATAGGGCAATAAACATAGAATTCATCTTGGATTGTGTTGAAGTTCTTGCTAGAATTATAGTCATTAGGTAATCATTAAGTAAAATTAGTATATTCATTATCTAATTGATGTTAAAGAAATTATTAGAATAAACTTAGGTTGTAAGCTGTTATGAACATACTATTATGGTAACAATTAAATTAGTAATGGCAGGAAATTTGCTGTTCATAGTTCGAGTAAGTCAACACATTGCAGTACCTCCTTATTTTAGTATACATATAAATACTGATTAAGATTAATTGAGTACGATATAAGGTTTATGCGACTGGATATATGCCTTATGTAGGGTCAAGAAATATAAATTTTATATTGAAAGCGAAAGTAATCATGAATCTTTAGTAAAAACGATGAACACGACCTTGTGATTTGCAATGAAAACTACAAATTATCATACGGATTTGTGACTCTTAGGCAAAACTAAATGCTGTTAGAAACTGATTTGGAAGAGTGTAGACAGGCAGTGAAATAGCCAAGAGAGAGAGAGAGAGAGATATAACTTATGAAACTGATCAGATTGAACCTTCTTATAATATGTGCTGCGCTACCATCGCCGTGAGGTCACAGCAAACCACATGACTTGCTTGACTGACCACGTGACATTACCGGGATGGAACATTACTGCTATCTGCGGTCTAATCGTTCTGCAGCACAATTTAATTAGAGTGACAGAATGGAGGGCCAGATAACGTAAGAGAAACTGGAGTGTTACAGTGAACTTGTTGAGTCAGGTGATGATAAAGAATGTTGGGTTGCGCGTGTGGCAGTGTCGCTTCCCTTATCAACTTTCACTTTCACTTGCTGCACCCTCGGAGCAGTAAATATTTCCGGTATTTGATTTGAGAACTTGCAAATTAGATCAGGCTGGTAAGTGTGATATGTAAGGTGACGCGCCATCGATTAGTACTGTTGAAATTATTTTCAGTGCTGATGATACCTTATATGAACCGAATATGAGCTGAACATCAGACCATGCAATGACCGAGGCTTATCTGTAATTTATCTGGTGACGTCAGATATTTCATTTGTGAAAGTTACGTCAGAATAGAACATTTACCGTAATCCTTAAATTCCCTATGTTTTTAGAAATTATTGTTAGATGATAAAAGAACTTTTCTCTCCACTTGCCACCTGAGGTGTCGTCAGTTCGACCTATTATTACTCACCTCTATCTAGTGCTCTTATGACCTCATCAATCATTTAATCTCTATAATATTTGTTATCGTCAAGGCTGTTAAATTCGCCAATTTACTACTTCAAGTTATAATTTTTAGGGCTGTTAAATTCGCCAAGAAATGCGCGGAAAATTCGGTAAAAATGCGGCCGTGGGAACACGTAGCATTCTCAAGTCTATTATCTATAATCTAGTTGGATGTGTGACGTTATACGTCAAGTCTCAAACTTACAAATCTCGACAAGTAGAGTTAATTTACTCCATAATGTCTTCGGTTATGAGCTAAATTTAACCCCTTGCGATATTGATCAGTACCCACGCTAGTCGCAAACCATTAACCACCCACTTGTTGCGGGAAGCACATTTTTTGGCAATATTCCGCCATATAAAACCAACTATCGTGAAACAACTACCGTATTTCTTTTTAAATGCGGCAATTTTCAGAGAAAAATTCGTAAGCGAATTTACTTCGAATAATAGTAATACGCGTAGTGTGAATTTCACAGCATTGGTTAACGTTAAACCAAGTTATCAGTTCTTTATCAGCACTGGTTTCACTTTCTGTATCTTTCTGTTACAATCAGTCGTCTCATGCTTAGGTTGGGTGCAAGCCAAACTCACCGGTCAAGAATTACAAACAAGATTTACGCTTTATCAGCTTTTCTGTGCCAGCAAAAGATATGAAATTTCCTTGGAAGCCCCAAAAGGTCTAATTGAATTTGGAAGTCAGGTCATTTGAAAAACTTATCTATAAGCTACATTTTCCAAGCAAAGACATGACGTGATGACAGGTTATTCAAATAAACTTACTTCCGTTCCGTTCATATTATTATATTATATTTCTCAAATTGTCTGCTCTAGTCTCAACTGGCTGCAAAGAGGATAGGAGTGACAGAGCAAAGTAACCTTTTGACTAGGAAGGAGTGACGTATCACCATTTACCATGTAAAGAAAGTGAAACTGATACTTTAAATCACGTGATGTGACGTCCCTTACGTTACTGTTCATGTACTCATCAAACTCTAATATTTCACTCTAAAAAAGTGAAAGGGAACTGGTCATGGTTTCACTTTCAGTCTTGCAATTTGCGGCTATTCGATTGTGATGCTGCTTCAGGCCTCTGAGGTCATTATACTGCTGGGCTAGAACTTTCTACAACTTTCTGCTTGATATGAGATTAGAGGCTACTGTAATTCTATCAGGGGTTTTATCACCAAAGATAGAGCTGGGAAATTTTAAGTTAAGTTTTATGTAACGGCCTTTTCACAGTAAATATGTCACGAACCGAGAAAAGTGACAGTCCTTTCACATACTCACATATAAAAACTTAAACTTCTAGACACAATCTGTATTAAAATCTACTGGCCTATTCGCTCGCACCCTTAGGTGCCGAGATTGATACAATTTATGAATTACAGAATGACTTATATGCTGTCATGGCAACCTTAATCACGTGTTCATTGTAATATTTCAAAAAAAGGAAGCGAGACTGTAAATTAAATTAAATCCAGCTTAATGAAACCGAAACAGTCCCATACGCTAAATGTGATAATTAACAGAATTTAGCGGATTTGGATGGAGAACGGATATTCACACTTACTGACTTACATATTTCGCATTCTTAATATATAATAAGTGCCTCATTAATGTAGACATTTACAAGTAGTTTAAGATGATAACCTTTAGTCTAACATGAGTATATAATAATATGTCAACAAACTATAACAAATACACACAATTAAATAATATCTCAGGAGGAAGCATCTTGAGACCCATGATAGTAAAGGTTCTTGGCTTAAAGGACAATTATCCGCTAGGAGTCAAGGTATGTTTTAATGAAATTGTGATCACTCTCTTCTTTTTCAATGTTAATATTTTTGAGAGCATGCACAATAGCTTCTCCCCCCCCCCCCCCCCCCCCCACTCTCCCGCGTTATCTTATCAGTTTAAATTTCCGTACTTTCAGGCGCTGGATTGGCCGGAAGGTTTCAGTCTAACAAAAGCAAAGACACAATACAAAGAGAAACTCAACTCCCTGGAGCTGACACGAGAGCAGAAGGACAGTATAATAAGTATTAAAATGAAAGTTTTCCAGCTTAATAATAAGCTCATAAAGGAAGTGACACACTCAAAACAGAGTAAAGATGTCGCGTGGAAATACTTGGAGAGGATCCTTTTCGTTTTGTGCCTGATCATAGCTTTCCTTTTATTTTGGTATATGCGAAAATAACTCGAACACTCTTAAACTTACAACTCACAACCGTTCAGTGTTGATTGTTGCATTCAGGCGACAGAAAAATGTTTAATTAAGCGATTTATTTATTTGCAAGTTACAATAATTTTTGAAAGATTTGCTGTGAAAATCGTTTCAAGATTATGCCTTGATTTATAGATGAATAATTTATGTTTGAATTTCTATATTTAAACGTGGCCCGATATACCCGTACCCCCATGATGCATATATTTTACTGTTTCTTAATTGAAGTTATTTTGTTTTGAGAAGCTTGCTTGTCATTGTATGAAAAATAAAAGAGGTTGTCAAAAACGAAACAAGAAGTTTATAAATTACATCAATCACCATATGATAGTTATTTATAGCTCACTTTAATGTTATAAATAGATTTAAATAGATAAAAGACTCATTAATTTTATTTAAATTGCTAGGTCGGGTAGAACTTCTCTCCATGGCCCGGGGAAACCAGCGGGATTTAGCAAGAGAAAAAGCTGCAAAGAAAAACAAGGGTAAAAACAAAGGTAAAAACAGTCTGCATAGAATGCTTCCATTTTTCGGTTGTATCATATATCCAAATCAATCAAAATCAAATTTTAATTTGAAAATTTCATCAAAAGAACAAAGAATTCAGGAATTTTCCTTAAAACTTTCTTCTTCAGAAACTAAAGATCAAGATGGTAACAAAGGTCTAACTCACACTCAACGGCAAGAGAGGGACGCTGAGGTTTACTTAATTAACAAACTTACTTGATTAACAAACTTACTTTATTAACAAACTTACTTAATTAACAAACTTACTTAATTAACAAACTTACTTAATTAACAAACTTACTTAATTATCAATCTTTATGTGGATGAAGGAATGGCAAGTTTACTCTACGAAAATCAAACAAAGTAGGTTTTGTACAGAGAAATAGTTGGTAAACTTTATATTAGCGGTCGAGGGGCCAAAGCTAAGGGGACGGCACTATATTCATGATAATCCTGCTATTTAAAATAAATAAATACTTTCTCGTTCAGGTAATGAGAAAGAAACAAGAGGCAGCAGCGGCGAAGAAAGCGGAACAAGGCCAGAGTTCCAAATAGGTACCAGCTGGTAAAAGATCTCCAGTTTTCGGTCGATCAAGTATCTTTAATACCTTACTGTTGATAATATATTTAATATGGATTGATCGTATTCATAAGATTTTCTTTTTACGAATATTATTATGTTTGATTGAAAAACTGAGTTTATAAAGTAGTTTTACCAAATCTTCTGAATTGAAATAAATTAGTTTTTTTTAGACAATCATAAACTGTGGCTAATAAGACATTTTTATTTGCGTTGATATATAATATAATTATCATTTTGAAAACTGATATTATGCTACATAGTTTTATTGATTCTCCTACTAATTTACAATTTCCATTTAAAAGTAAATCAAATTTCAGTTCAGTTTTATAATCGCTACGGAGTCTTTAAATACTAACTTTAAACTAGTGAATTTATCTTAAGGCTAAATAATTGAAACTTCAAATTCTAATTGATATCTTAACATGTAACAATTAATCTCACCAGAATATGTTGAAGTAACAACCCCCGCTGTAAAATGTCAGAAGTGAGCGCAGCACTGCAAGGTATCAGGAAGGGAGATGGCACGGACACCCAACCTGTTCTCCACCTGGTGGAACTGCTAAAGTCACGTGACACCTCCCACCTCCCCCAGCTCCTCACCCTCTCCCCCAGCTGTAGTGAGGTGTTCTCTTGGTGGGACAGGGGTCCCGGTCAGCACACCCAGTCAGCAGCCTGTTTTACACTGTTCGCCCTTCTTAACAAGTCCGTCCTCAAGGAACACCTTCAGTTCCAGGCACAAGCTGTGGCACTGTGTAGGAAGCTAATAAAGGAGCGGTTACACAGTGTGTATAGTTGTCTCAGTAAGTATAGCTCTGTCCCGGCTAGGAAGAGATGTTTGGAGTTCCTTATCTTGCTTAATTGTTTCGGGGGCTCCGTCACTAAAACCCTCCTGGACGATTTCAACTTTGGTAATGCCTCCCTGAAGCAAATGTTAGCAAACCATGGGCCAGCTCACGAAGACGCAGTTAGATTTATGCTCTCATTTCTCTGTATCCCTTCTCTTGACTTGAAGGTTAAGTTTATGCAAATGAAGAATGTTCTGAAGATCATGACCACACGGATTGGAAAAGATAGTGTGGAGCTAAAACTGGAGCTACTCAATGTTTTGTTGGAACACGTTTTAAACGTCGCTAAGATACAGAAGAGGGTAATGTGCCAGTTTTTTGCTGTCCCTGTCCTTGTTAAGATCTCCTATTTCTGGGAGGACTCTGTTAAGGAGCTGCAGGAGCAGACAAGTGTGTTTTTCAGGGCTCTGTTTCATCGTAAGACTGGGATATTGTTCGATTCAACCGCAAAAGATGTACTGACAGACTGTACGAGAAATCCTGTGCTGTTGAACTTTGTAAAGCATGCTTCCTCAAACAGTCAATACTACAGTGAGTTCGTTGTGGACATGGTCAAGATTTGTCCCGAAGTTTCATCTTCAATGATAAGCAGTATCATCACCAAGAAATCTTCCGACTTGTCCTTTGCTTCAGTTCTCTGTTCTGTTTTACGAGCTAGGGATGTAGAGGCCTTGCTATCCACTGTTACTCCGGACATTACTGATAAACAAATCATAGACTATTTAGTCCCAAAACCTGTTTCAGACTTGCTAGAAAAACAGTTAAAGACAACAGTTGATATCGGTGTGTATCCACTGTTACTGGCCCTGATAGGATCTGCTTCCAAGGCTGTTGCTATGCTTCAAGATCGAGAGCAACTCAAAGATATTGCTCTATACAACTTAGTAGATATCTCTGTTATCAACTCAGCTGGACTTCTCACTTCTGCATTTGCTGGACATTACTCCATCATAGACATGTTCAGTCTTTATCAGTATAAGATAGAGAAGTTGATAGATTTATCTGAGAGTGGTGAGCTGTCTGAAGATGATGTGAACTTACTTGTCCTGACTTACCCCGCTGCACTTAGAAGATTCGTCAAGTCTAACCACGCAGCTGTCGTTAAGAAAGTAACGGAGAAAACAGGGCAATCCAAGAAGCTATTCCACAAGATAATGTTAGCTATAAATAGTGATGTTGAATACTCACAAGCTATCAACATTATAGAATCGATCATCTTTGATGATCATTCTGATATGATTGTCACAATTAAAGGAGAGAAACGTGACTTCATATTGGACGAAGAAATTCTTATTTTGGTCAATAAGGTATGCGACTTCTCTACCTCCTTTGGACTTGATTACCTTACCACTATACTGGACGGAGTAAAATCCAAGGAATGTGATATGGAACTCCGGGTAAGGTGGAATGTGACTTAATTCCACGATTGATCGCCTACATTTGTAATCCTCTGTTTGATATCCCGGATGCGAATTTTTCTAAATGGATGGAGTTCGATTTACGAGAAAAGTTGCTGAGCCATGACTCTCCAGTATTCTTTCTAGGATCACACTTTGTTTTAGGAGATCATTTGTGGGGTGAAATGCAAACTCATTACTACGACGAAATCAGAACAGATCCCATTTTGGTTGCCAACATGGTCAAAATGTTCCAACAGTTTTCATTCGTCCTCTTCAAAAATGGAACCAGTAACAGAGATGTATTCCACCATTTTCTGCAATTATTTGACGACAACTTGATGACGGAAATGCACAACAATCCAAAAGTATACGCGAAAACTATCGCCTACCTTCAGAAGACTGTTGATCAGCTGATCGAACGGAATCACGAAGCATTTTACGAGGTTGATGTTTTGAAGTGTGTCATCATGAAAGAATGGCTGACAGAGAAGCGCGTAGAAGCAGTTATACAGAATGTTTTGATGAGTGAATGTTCCGATGACCGGAAAGATGACGAGCTAATACCAATCATCAGAGACCATCTGGACAAGTTTGCTGAATTTTGCGGACCCCGAAGTTACCTTGCGACCAAATTATTCTATTTTGGTATGTACCACTTCTTCGACCTCTTCCAGTCGTCACCAGAGAAGATAGACGAGTACCATATTGTTTGGTTTTTGCATTTCCTTGGTAAGAATGGTGCATTGTGTTCTGACATATTTTCACACATTCCTCAAGAAATCGCCGAAAAAATGTATTCAGAAATATGTTCGGATGCTTGTTTAGTTTACATAACGAAGAACTTTGATGACGCCTCTAATGCCTATTCGTTAAACCTAACCAACTACTCAAGATTCCAATGTATCTTGTTGTTAGAAAATTACCTGCGTACTGAATACTCCAGAGAGTGTGACTATGTTTTTGATGTATCACAGTATAAAGAACACAAACAAGATTACCAGGAATACTGCAAAGAATTTGCTCATGCTACAGACATTTCAGAGGAATGTCCACGGACAGTGGACGATAAACGAGTATGTCTCCTCTCGGAAATAATCTGCAAAACTGAACCTAAGAATGAGTTAGAAGCCCTTTACCTGGTCTCTGAAGCTATCAATCTGGAGTGTACCACATTCTTCACTTCAAGACACCTTGATAAAACAGCTGAACTCTCGAACTGCTTGAAAAGTAAGAAAATCCTGAAACAAATATTCGAATTATTTATGAGTAAGTCTGATATTGGCAGCCTCAAAGCATTCTTGTCACAACACGTGTCAGTTTACGAAGAACACCTTCCAGCTTTTACCAGGAAACAGATCGATAAGTCTGTGTGTTCAACTGCAGAGTTGTTGGATCAAACAATTGTTCCAGAAACCAGTCAAAACGGGCTCAAAATGAATATCGAAATCTTAACACAGCTCATAATCACGTTCCAAGAAATAGTTCCCGGGGAACGTCTGTCTCCTATCTTCGATACCTTGATCGCTCATCCAGCAGTACAGAAGTGTTTGGTTTCCGAGCTAAGTAGTGAGAAAACATTGCTGACTAAACTATTTGTTTTGCTGTTGGAAACTGGAAAAGTACCCTCCGAGACCCTGAACAAAGCCCACTATCTTATCTTCCAAACCTCTTATTCAGCAACCACCTCTGTTGCTGACAAAAACGTTTTAAAGATCCTGAAACATTTTGAAGAGCAGGGTGTGGTGTCCAAATACCCATTCGCATATGGATCTGACGTGGCCGATCTGAAAAGCATCAAAAACATCGCCCACTACAACGAATACTGCATCAAGATCCTGGAAAACATCGACAGTGACATGATGAACAATCTGATAGATAACTTTCCCTTACACTCTGAGGAAAGCATGAAGATGGTGACGGACAGTGTGGAATCTCTGGTAACAGCTGACACCGAGTACATTCTATCCCTGCTTCACCACGTGCTGAGAAATGGGGAGGTAGATGTGCGCATGATCCTGTCCCATCCTATCAGTAAGGTTATGTTACTTGCTCTAAGCAGCTACGATGAAGCTACCAGACGTGTCGCATTCGTCTGTCTGGAGAGGACATCCCTCCTTATAGAGGAGGAAAAGTTCAAGGAGAAAGCTATGTGTTTGTATTTGTTTAAGATGATTGAAAACTCTATAACCTCGGTTGAAGAGAGATTACCTCATTTGTCTGTATATTTTCTTGGTAGAATGCTTCACGCTTTATTTACACCACACAAGCATATCTACCAGAATATTTGCCACTTTTTACTGCAGAGGCCCGTGTTTGATTTCCATGATGTTCCCATGTTTTACGGCATGTTTTGTAGCTCTAACCTTTACTTTAAACAGGATCAGAACTGGTTGTTAGAAATTCTTTGTGTTGCTGTGCGAGATGAGATTGATTATAAGATTCTTACCAGGAGACATGTTTTACCTCACTGCTTTTCACAGATTTCTTGCCATAATTTAGATAAGCATACCTTAAAATTGATACATAAGTTGCTGAGAAAGGTGTTTAGTATTAAGAGTGTAAAGGTTCAAAATGATTTAGCTGATTTAGGAATCACTGCAATTGATTAGATATTTTTCCATGACCGTGCACCCATAAATAACTTGTTTATTGAGTATTGACTATGGTAGTGTTTTTATCACTAATTTATTATTTTTATTTATCCTACACTGGGCAATATAATGGACTGTTTACTTGTCAACAATACTTAGAAGCCTGAATTTTCTGGCCAACTTGTAAGTTCGAACGGTGACTTTTTTGCATCTATACATATAGCTATATATAATTTATAAATATTCTTATTGATCTCATCAAAATTCAGGCTTCACAGTATCGAATATTGATTCTCAGTAATTCAATTGAATCGACATAGTAGTAAAGATCGCATAAAATATTTCACGAAAACCTATGTTTCGAAAAACCAACACTTTAGGCATCCTACCATAAACACGTGTTCGCCGAATGCGCGGGTTTTGTCACAGAATACTAATACGGAATACGCGGTGACGACATGATGTTAAAACTTATTGCGCACGACATATTCTTAAGCAGCAGTGCTAAGCTAGATCAGATCGGATAATATATATACGGTCGACCCCTTGGTCCAAATTAGGCCCAATTGAGCCAAATACCCTAAACATGCACAAAATCCAGATTTTAGGTGCTCTACTTGTAGCTAGTGGTCCCCTGAACTCGTATATGAATTTTCATCAAGATTGGACAAAAAATGACTGAGTTATGAGCCAAAAACCATATGACCATATTTGGGCATACGCACCAAATTTGATCGAATTTGGCCCATAAATTGGTCAAATATCAATATTTTTGAATGAAAAAATGAACAAAATTGCCCATATCTCAGTTCGCAATATTTGCAAAACTGATTTCGCTCCACGCTCAAAACAATAGAACTCAATAGGGTTTCAATATTTTAACATGAAATTTTCAGAATCAACGTAGAATCGCATTTCGACCTTAAGTTTTGTATTGGAATTTTGAGTTAGGCCTTTAAAAAAATTTGGCGGCCAAATTCCAAAATTTGCAATGCGAAATTCAGAATTTGGCCGCCAAATTTTTTTAAAGGCCTAACTCAAAATTCCAATACAAAACTTAAGGTCGAAATGCGGTTCACCCTGATTTTTTTGTGAAACTTGGTTTCGAGATAGTAGCTGACCAACTAACTAGGAACAGTGACCGAACTTTTGAGGGGGTCCCGGACCCCAACCGCCAAACGGTGCCCGCGGGGCAGCCACGCCCATATTTGGTCCAAATTAGGCCCAATTGAGCCAAATACCATAAACATGCACAAAATCCAGATTTTAGGTGCTCTACTTGTAGCTAGTGCTCCCCTGAACTCGTATATGAATTTTCATCAAGATTGGACAAAAAATGACTGAGTTATGAGCCAAAAACCATATGACCATACTTGGGCATACGCACCAAATTTGATCGAATTTGGCCCATAAATTGGTCAAATATCAATATTTTTGAATGAAAAAATGAACAAAATTGCCCATATCTCAGTTCGCAATATTTGCAAAACTGATTTCGCTCAAAACAATAGAACTCAATAGGGTTTCAATATTTTAACATGAAATTTTCAGAATCAACGTAGAATCGCATTTCGACCTTAAGTTTTGTATTGGAATTTTGAGTTAGGCCTTTAAAAAAATTTGGCGGCCAAATTCCAAATTTGCAATGCGAAATTCAGTTAATTTGGCCGCCAAATTTTTTTAAAGGCCTAACTCAAAATTCCAATACAAAACTTAAGGTCGAAATGCGATTCTACGTTTTTAGATTTAAATATTGAGCCCTTTGGCTAGAGAATACTTTCTTGAATATTTTCGATAGTTTTTAATATTGGTAATATTAATGAATTGTAATTGATTGATATTTAATATTTAGGCCCGTGGCCAGTTTTCACATTCTACGTTGATTCTGAAAATTTCATGTAAAAATATTGAAACCCTATCACAATGCTGGCAAGCATTACCGTCGCCCTTATATTCACAACACTATTTACCCCCTATACTAGTATATCCCCTTTATTGTTTTCCAGGCATTAAGAGTCATCGAAAGTAGTTCAGCAGGTATATTTAAGTTCAAAACATTCTAATTCAATGTTAAAGATGACAGGAATAAGAAATAGTTATGTGGAGGTTTTTAAGAAATTTGCGCAAAATACGCGCCAGCATGTTATACGAAATTAGGTAAAAAACCCAAAATCGCCATATTCAGGTGCCTTAAAAACGATGTTAAAATTGAGTTAGAGATCTGAAACTTTGCAGGGCGTCTAGACCTTGTCCAAATCGACTGTAAAAAAATTTCATGTTTCAGGAGTATCGGGAAGTGGGTTTTCTGGAACCTCTGTTTTACAACAGATTGTCGTGAAGTATATATCACAATGCTGGCAAGCATAACCGTTGCCCTTATATTCACAACACTATTTACCCCCTATACTATTATATCCCCTTTATTGTTTTCCAGGCATTAAGACTCATCGAAAGTAGTTCAGCAGGTATATTTAAGTTCAAAACATTCTAATTCAATGTTAAAGATGACAGGAATAAGAAATAGTTATGTGGAGGTTTTTAAGAAATTTGCGCAAAATACGCGCCAGCATGTTATACGAAATTAGGTAAAAAACCCAAAATCGCCATATTCAGGTGCCTTAAAAACCATGTTAAAATTGAGTTAGAGATCTGAAACTTTGCAGGGCGTCTAGACCTTGTCCAAATCGACTGTAAAAAAATGTTCATGTTTCAGGAGTATCGGGAAGTGGGTTTTCTGGAACCCCTGTTTTACAACAGATTGTCGTGAAGGATATATATATATGTATGTATAGACGCTTTGGCAGTCAATTGTAGCCTACGTTTAAGTGTCCGTAGATTCAAAAGTATAAAAGATACAGTCATTTGGAACCACAGGTTTTAAAGATAATCGTTTATACTTTAGTTTACATTATATCGAAAAATAATTTATCGTCATCATCATCACTTGATGACGTCATCAATTTAAGTGTTTTTAAAACTTGATTTTTGACAAAATAACAACTTTTCAAATCGATTTTAAACCATTAAGAAGTAATTTTATTCAAAATCTGAGGACATTTTCATCTAAGATAATTGTTCAAGCATTCTGAAAATCTACCGGAAAAGTTTCCTACCTTACTCCTTCATAAAGATATTTGCTATTGAAGTTAGTGCGTTTTTGAAGAATAATTTTATAAAAACACAAAAGTTGTGAATTAGTATTCTCTGATGTTGGACCATCCCTTGGGTTGTGGAGCTCAATTTTGCTTCTTAAAGGTCTAAATTGTGTTATAGGCTAGTTTTAAAGTTGAAAATCGAAAATTTGCACACGTGGGGACACGCCCAAATTGATTTAAAATAGCTTATATCACTGAAAATTGTTATTTTCACGATTTTTATCAACTTTGGAGTCCCGTTGTGATCCAAGTTCTTTTTGAAATCTTCTGAAACTTTGTATGCTTATCAAACTATATATTAAATACCACTATACAAAAATTTACGATGATTCAATATTGTATGCGCACGCAACGTCCGCTCAAAGTTTGCACGTGCGAAAGGTGAGAATTTTGCTCATTTGTGATTTCGAATATATTCTGCTTTCCCACGATATTTAAATGGCATTATATATGAATTAAATGCCAACTTGAATGAGTAAGAAGTGCCATATTCAGTCTGTTATCGACAGATATACCTACCTAAACACAAGGAAATGTTTTCAAAGGTAAAATTTCGAAATCGTTGAAATTACCTCCTTATTAATGAAGTTTCGACTGTGTAAATTATCCTGACATTATAATCAAAAAGAGATGATATTTGACCAAAACCCATAATCATGGGTAGAGTGAACCGCTGCCAGTGTCTCTCTTTTCCAAACAAAAGGAAATGATATTAATTTGAGGAACCGTCCGCAAATGCAAATTGATACCGAGAATGAAATCGGTCGCTCGCTTTTCCCATTCATTCACGGCTTACGAATTGTAATAAAGCTTATTGAGTGGGAAAAGCGAGCGACCCATTTCATTCTCGGTATCAATTTGCATTTGCGGACGGTTCCTCAAATTAATATCATTTCCTTTTGTTTGGAAAAGAGAGACACTGGCAGCGGTTCACTCTACCCATGATTATGGGTTTTGGTCAAATCACAGTGCTGGCAAGCACGACCGTTGCATTTATTGTGGGTATACTATGTTCCCCATTTACTATTATACCCCCTTTACTATTATACCCCCTTTACTATTATACCCCCTTTGGTACACGTTACAAGCCTCTTTTGTGCACGCGAAGCGTGCACTCCGGCCGGGGGCGGCGGCCGAAGGCCGCCGCCTCCGGCAGGAGTTTTCCAGGCATTAAGACTCATCGGAAGTCGTTAAGCAGAATTATTTTTAGTTCAAAACATTCTAATTTGATGTCAAAGATGACAGGAATAAAAAATAGTTATGTTGAGATTTTTAAGAAATTTGCATAAAATACTCGCCAGCACTGTTATACGAAATTCGGTAAAAAACCCAAAATCGCCATATTCAGGTGCCTTAAAAACCATGTTAAAATTGAGTTAGAGATCTGAAATTTTTCAGGGCGTCTAGACGTTGATCAAATCGACTGCAAAAAAAGTTTCAGGTTTCAGGAGTATCGGGAAATGGGTTTTCTAGAACCCCTGTTTTACGACAGATTGTCGTGATATATATATATATACATATTCTATTCAGGGATAGACGCTTTGCCAGTCAATTGTAGCCTGTATTTAATTGTCCATAGATTCAAAAGTATAAAAGATAAAGCCATTTCCGACCACAGGTCTTGCAAATAATTGTTTACACTTTAGTTTACATTGTATAAAAAAATTATTTGACGTCATAAACACCCCTTGATGACGTCATCAAGTTAACCGTTTTTAAAACTTGATTTTTGACAAAGTAATAACTTTTAAAATTGATTTTAAACCATTAAGGAGTAATTTTATTCAAAATCTGAGGAGATTTTCATCTTAGATAATTGTTCAAGCATTCTGAAAATCTACCGGAAAGTTTTTCTAGCTTGCTCCTTCATAAAGATATTCGTCATTGAAGTTTGTGCTTTTTTGAAGAATTATTTTATAAAAACGTCAATTTTGCGATTTAGTATTCTCTGGTGTTGGGCCATGCCTTGAGTTGAGGAGCTCAGTTCTGCTTCCTATAGGTATAAATTGTGCATTAGGCTAGTTTTGAAGTTGAAAATCGAAAAGTTGCACACGTGGGGACACGCCCAAATTGATAGAAAATTGCTAAAATCACTGAAAATTGCTGTTTTCGTCATTTTCTGTCAACTTTAGAGTGCCGTTGTGATTACAGTTCTTCTTGAAATACTTTGAAACTTTGCATGCTTATCAAGCTATATATAAAACAATTACATGAAAAAATTTACGGCGATTCAATATTGGATGCGCACGCAACGTCCGCTCAAAGTTTGCACGTGCGAAAGGTGAGAATTTTGCTCATTCGTGATTTCCAACAAATTCTGCTTTGCCACGACAGTTTAATGTCATTATATATGAATTTAATGCCAACTTGAATGAGTATTAGGTGGCATATTCAGTCAGTGATCGACCGATATGCTTACCTAAACACAAGGAAATGTTTTTAAAGGAAAATTTCGAAATCGTTGAAACTTCCTCCTTATTAATTAATGAAGATATCAGTTTATATTTCGACTTTATAAAGTACCCTGACATTATAATCAAAAAGAGATGATATTTTACCAAAACCCATATTCATGGGTAGAGTGGACCGCTGCCAGTGTCTCTCTTTCCCAAACAAAAGGAAATGATATTAATTTGATTGACCGTTCTCAAATGCAAAATGATACCGAGAATGAAATCGGTCGCTCGCTTTTCCCATTCATTTACAATTGTAATAGATTAAGAAGATCTACCCAAAGGCAGCTGTACTCGGCAATAAAGATTCAATAAACTTCAGCTAATTCAATAAGCAATAACTACTACCCTTACCCCGAAATACTAGGTATCGATCCGAACGCAACCCAAAGAGATTTTTACAGCATCTGACTGATGTAATCAATCGAAATTTATTACAATTCGTAAGCCGTGAATGAATGGAAAAAGCGAGCGACCGATTTCATTCTCGGTATCATTTTGCATTTGAGAACGGTCAATCAAATTAATATCATTTCCTTTTGTTTGGGAAAGAGAGACACTGGCAGCGGTCCACTCTACCCATGAATATGGGTTTTGGTAAAATATATAATTATAATTATATGTATGTATAGACGCTTTTGCAGTCAATTATAGCCTACATTTAAGTGTCCGTAGATTCAAAAGTATAGAAGATACAGTCATTTCGAACCACAGGTTTTAAAGATAATTGTTTATACTTTAGTTTACATTATATCAAAAAATAATTTATCTTCATCATCATCACTTGATGACGTCATAAAATTAAGTGTTTTTAAAACTTGATTTTTGACAAAGTAATAACTTTTCAAATCGATTTTAAACCATTAAGGAGTAATTTTATTCAAAATCTGAGGACATTTTCACCTTAGACAATTGTTCAAGCATTCTGAAAATCTACCGGAAAAGTTTCTTACTTTGCTCCTTCATAAAGATATTCGCTATTGAAGTAAGTGCTTTTTTGAAGAATAATTTTATAAAAACACAAAAGTTGTGAATTAGTATTCTCTGGTGTTGGGCCATCTCTTGGGTTGTGGAGCTCAATTGTGCTTCCTAAAGGTCTAAATTGTGTTATAGGCTAGTTTTAAAGTTGAAAATCGAAAAGTTGCACACGTGGGGACACGCCCAAATTGATAGAAAATTGCTAAAATTACTGAAAATTGCTGTTGTCGCCATTTTTATCAAATTTGGAGTCCCGTTGTGATCGAAGTTCTGTATGAAATCTTCTGAAACTTTGCATGCTTATTAAACTATATATAAAATACTGCTATGCAAAAATTTGCGGTGATTCAATATTGTATGCGCACGCAACGTCCGCTCAAAATTTGCACGTGCGAAAGGTGAGAATTTTGCTCATTCGTGATTTTGAATAAATTCTGCTTTCCCACGATATTTAAATGGCATTATATATGAATTTAATGCCAACTTGAATGAGTAAAAAGTGCCATATTCAGTCAGGTAAAATTTCGAAATCGATGAAATTACCTCCTAATTATTAATATAAATATTAATGAAGTTATGAGTTTACATTTCGGCTTTGTAAATTATCCTGACATTATAATCAAAAAGAGATGATATTTGACCAAAACCCATAATCATGGGTAGAGTGTACCGCTGCCAGTGTCTCTCTTTTCCAAACAAAAGGAAATGATATTAATTTGAATAACCGTCCGCAAATGCAAATTGATACCGAGAATGAAATCGGTCGCTCGCTTTTTCCAATCAATAAGCTTTATTACAATTCGTAAGCCGTGATCGAATGGAAAAAGCGAGCGACCGATTTCATTCTCGGTATCAATTTGCATTTGCGGACGGTTATTCAAATTAATATCATTTCCTTTTGTTTGGAAAAGAGAGACACTGGCAGCGGTACACTCTACCCATGATTATGGGTTTTGGTCAAATTGAATTCTATTGTTTTGAGCGAAATCAGTTTTGCAAATATCGCGAACTAAGATATGGGCAATTTTGTTCATTTTTTGCGATTATTTGAACACAGAATCCATAGTTAGGTAGATACTGAGCTGATAATCATAGATAATGTGTAGTATAGGCTTACCTTTCATGTAAAGTTGGTTTCATTCAAAAATATTGATATTTGACCAATTTATGGGCCAAATTCGATCAAATTTGGTGCGTATGCCCAAATATGGTCATATAGTTTTTGGCTCATAACTCAGTCCTTTTTTGTCCAATCTTGATGAAAATTCATATACGAGTTCAGGGGACCACTAGCTACAAGTAGAGCATCTAAAATCTGGATTTTTAGCGCGTTCAAGACATATGCTCGGGTTTATCAATTCCAACGGCCAACGCCGATTGGACTCCACCAGGATCATATACGGCATACCGCCGCTGAAATCCTGTCAATTCCGAGCTATAACGCTATATCAATATGGTTTGCTCTCGGACCCGATAGGAAATCAAAATCCTGTAGGATCCGGGAGCAAATCCTAGCGGGGATAGGGGATAGGATTTAACAATTCCGAGTGGCGATAGGATTTGATCTTAGACCCGATAGGATACTCAAATCCTATGGGATCCGAGAGTCAATAGGATTTGAAATATCGTGAACGATATTATTGGAAGATGATGCATAGCTTACTTCAGGTCAACTTCATGCTTTCTTTAAGTTTTAAGTTTACCTCAGGATCAGATCAGCTGTATTTTAAGTTGTTTCAAGGTTGCGGTTGCTTATTATCAATATTTAAGCAGTTTATACCTTGCTTATAGAAACTTCTAAGTTCTACTATGACACTGACAGTATGACATTGACATAAAATAAAAAAACATTTTTTGATATTGATAGTCGAACTCTGCAATGCCAATAAAAGATGACAATCACAGTACTCAAAATCATTTATGTTTACAGTAAGTTAACTTCTGTTCTAAATAGTTATTAGTTATTCGTCGGGTATTTTTATTATTTCAAATAGCCTCAACGTATTGTGAAAAAAAAATTTTAAAGCACCAAATACGATTAAAAAATTTGCGGACTCAGCAGCAATTTAACAATACTTGTCCAAATATAAATTTGGTTCAATTCTTTCCTTTTTCATGCTCATCCATAACGGGTAAACTCGAACCATCTAAATAAAATCCAACAAGATCAAACTATCTACAAACTGATTTGATCAGACACAATTTTACAGTCTCTGACAGTCTGTATATCAGTTTAAAGAGTCCGAGTTTGTGGAATGGTAACACTTCACGTCACAGCCACAGCCATCCACTCCCTTGGTCGTTTCATGGGGGTAACCAGTTCACTCTTATTCTTGACGGGGTTAAACTTCTCCACAACATTCACACTTCCTTTACCGTCGTTACCTCCGATTATGAAGAGTTGACCGGACACCACAGCGACCGCCAGCGCGAACCTTCCACTCTGAGGGACAGATAAATTATCCGTCCACACTATCTATACTATAATTTAAACTTGACGAAATTTCCCCGGCAACGGGGACATAGAAGAAAAAACACCGAAAATCGACCTTAAAATGACCCTCTGGTGATGCCAAACCCAGCTCGCAAATGGAGTTGAAACCTCGCCATTTTTAGCAGGGTTGTAGAAAAAGGATAGGAATAGGCTATAGCATTCTTAGAATTTTGATTTAGGCTTAAGATTTTTTATAATTAACGTCGGAAGTGAGGTAAAATAACCGTTAGAATAATGTCGTTATTTTAGCAAATGTTTACTGCGCTGTTGCGTAGCAACGTTAAAATGCACGTGCGCGAGCAAATTAAAAACATCTTAACTACGCGCGTTGTTATGCTGTATGCTACGTCATAATTTCAAAACTAGCTCACATTTACGCTCACGCTATGACTTATATTCATAACTTTGGTTGTGATTGGTATTTTTTGATGCGGTAAAAAGTATCGTTTTGGGAATCCGAATACTAACAACGCTGTCGCCATTGTTAAATAAATTCCATTATGTCTACTGTATAACAGAGCTGTATGATGAAGAGAAATTAAAACATAACTGATTTTTAAAATTTCCTCGAACAAAACTTTCGACTAGCGGGTTTCTAGTACAGTATATACGAGTGTAGCCTATATAACTATAAGTGTAGCCGAGTTAAGGTCATGCTTTAGAAAATTCCAGTAGGACAATTTTAGTTTTGTTGTAAGCCTATAATAGATTAAGCTGCAGGTTAAAACCGAAAGAAATAAACTGGACGAACCTGCATGAGACCAACACTACTCCACTGGTCAGTTTCGGTGTTATACCGCTCTATACTGTACAGTACTGTACCATCACTCCTGCATCCACCAACAGCGAATATGTGTGACTCAACCTGAGATTTAAAATGGAATACGTTTAAATCTGAATTCGAACCTTGTATTAAACAGATTTGAGCTAGAATTTGAGGAATAAGACATTATTGAAACGATAAATCACGAACTAATACGCGGAATTATTTTGAAAATAACTGTTCACTTACTGCTCCAACAGCACATCCGTTCCTGCCGTATCTCATGGGTTTGAGGTCTGTCCAAGAGTCAGTTTCAGGAGAATACCTGTGCCAAACTAGCAGGGTAACGTTCAGTACAAAGTTATAAGATTTATAATTGGGTTGTAGAAAAGTTCCAATTTAAAATTGAGTGAAGTTACGTTCCAATTTCCATCGATAGTAAATAAGTAGTGTTAGCAAGAAATTTGACGATAAGGACCGACAGTGACTATAATTAGTTAAGTAAGCATATTGATTCGAATGAACAGCAACTTTACCTGGAGATACTATCAAGATCTCTGATGCCATCATGCCCGCCGACTACATACATATGTCCGTCTACAGTAGCACAACCGCACCTTGACCGAGGCTGTGTCAGTGCCGCCATCCTGTTCCAGATGTCGTTCTCAATGTTGTAGAACTCCGCTGACATTAGAACTGTTCTGTCGAATGCTCCTCCAGCCACGTAGATATTTCCCTCAATAATTGTGGCAGCCCCATACACTCGTTGTTCGTACATTGAGGACAAGGATTTCCAGTTCTTCATTCTGATATCGTAAACGTCGACGGAGTTCAGAGGTCTTTTCCTCTTATCCTGTCCACCTATGATAAATATGAGTTTCCCTGAGTGAGCCACAGCCATGGCACCTGATCTCCCAACCAACATGTCAACTTTTCCTCGTTCCCACCTGAAATATTTACCAAATAAAGTTATAATTGAATCTCATTGATAACTTCATGGTTTACACTATTAAGGCGGATGGTATTAGTTTATGACTTTCCAGACGCTGCAAAAAGCACTAAAGGCAGGCTAAGATGTCTAGTCAATAGTCGAGGTGTATTGCCAATTAAAAAGCAAGCACTAACAAAATAACAGGAAGCTGATTAATAATAACCTGTTGACGTTGCTATGATACACCTCCACCCTGCTCTCAGCTCCCTCTCCTCCCAGACAGAACAAATGCCCGGCTTTGGCTCCTATTCTGCTTGCTTTTCTGGTGCTCGGGTTCTTCAAACTCTGGTGGTACTCCTCCATCGCTTTGTTTAACATGTCTCGACATCTAAGGTTTTATTGTCACTTAGACTTTTCATCATACTAACTTATATAATATGTTATAGGTAAATAATATACTTAATCAATAATACCCAATTATGAATTAGTAGTGTGGCCGGCCGTAAAACTTTACGAAACTGAAGCTATTTCATGCTCAAACATTCAATATAATGAGTCGAATTGGAAACATGAAAAAGGTTTATCATCTAAATTGAACGAACTTGGAGTTAGTGTTGATAACATCTTCGTTGCTCACACGCTCGATAAGATCTGCTACGGGTATAATTGAGAGTCGTATCAAACCGAACAATTCCTCTATATATTGTTGTCTTGGTCCCTGACACAGATATTGTTAAATTCCAATTAATAAAAACGCAAGAATGAGACAAGTTATGGTGGTTTAATTCCTTGAAATTGTTGCAACGCTACAGAACACGAAGATGTGTGCCCACGGGACATCTTCTGTTGAATTTTATTGTACATAATACATTAAATAAAATTAACCATGATATGCAATTTCTATCTAGATAACATAACAGATCTGTAAAATCTTTAGGTGGTTACCTTATCATGCTTGATCCATCTGAGAACACCATCAAACACGGTTAGCTCTGACTTCACGTTCAGTTCGTCACTCGACAATAGCGCTTTGACCTGGCGGTAACTTACAGTTATATTGGTTTAATCAAGTGTAAAAGTCTTAAGTTATTACAGGAGAAAAGGTGCAGGAGACCACCTACTCCACGATGGCATCTGATACAAATTACAATACCATATTAGCATATTATGTATGTGATTCGTTAGAACCCACATTATCGAGTAGTTGATAACTTTATGATAAATGTTAGATTGTTATATTTTATGCCAACAAGCAACTTCTTATGGACACGTAATAATCCACCCTAATGTCAACCCTCAGTTTGCTGCAAATTATTTAATTTCCTATTAATTAGCAATCTAGTTGACCAAGCAGTGGGGTAACGTTGCATGTTTGATGTTTGCACAATGTACATTGTACATTTCCAGGGTCATAAGATTTGTCGACGAGTCGTGATATGTACCGTGTACGCAATTCTATACCAATTGTACCAATTGTATACGTTTATAATTATAGCTTCACATTCTCAGAAAAATAGTGTCACAGGAAACTAATTGCGCCTCCATTTTTTATCCGTTCGTCCCCACTAAGTTTTGTAACTGGTAATGGTGAACGAGTATGTCAACAAATATAGGCAGTATCGAGATAGCCCGACCACTGGTCCGCGGACCACTGTCCGCGGACCACTGTCTACCAGATCATATAACTGTATAATAACAGTATCCCCTGAATCAAGCAGGGTTCACATCATCCCCTGAATCAAGCAGGGTTCACATCATCGCACGCTCTTTAGGAGGTTTTTATGGAATAGGAAGTCTCAAGCATTCTCTAGGGAGGCGGTGGGTCCATTAATTTCGTCCATTAGACAGAAGAGTACCATGTCAGGAATTGGAATAGTTGTTGTTGTTGATGATGGCAACTGATAATACTTCACCAAAAACGAACGACTTATATACCACATTTTAATCGTAATCATTTATTTCATTGAGCAATCAATATTATTCGTAACTAATTATATCCGAGAGACCACATTTGAATCGTAATCAATAATTTGATCCAGTAATTTACTACCCTACAATTAATTATGCTAGTCGTAACTAATTGCATCCAAGATACCATACATACCATTCATATGATCTGGTAACCAATCAACTATTCACAAACACCTGTTGCTTGATTCAGGGGATACTGTTATTATACAGTAATATGATCTGGTAGACAGTGGTCCGCGGACAGTGGTCCGCAGACAGTGGTCCGCAGACAGTGGTCCGCGGACAGTGGTCCGCGGACCAGTGGTCGGGCTATCTCGATACTGCCCAAATATTATGTAGTTGTATATTGCTGCACTAGTATAACCCTTTACCATACCATGTTTACAAAATATTTTGCAAATTAGACGTCTCGGATACAGGCCTTTCTTCATGTTCTACAGTACTACTAAGCTACAGTACTAACTAATCTACTAGTACTCTACTAGTTATAGTACCTAGCTATGACAGTGCCTCATGAGCCACGTGGTCGAAAGGTATGTCATTAAATACGTGCATGGGAGTAAACGTTTTTCTTGCTCGTTTTGCGCTTCGTTCATGTTATAATAACAAAATCTTTCAGTTTATTTGCGTTACAGACTTTCGAGTATTGTATATTGTCGGTCCTGGTTATGTTTTGTTTCAGTTTTGCAGGCTTTCAGCATTATCATTACTAGCAGGAACCCGTCGAACCTTTAAGACTGGTGTCAAGGCTCTTTGGTGGCCGGATCAGTTTCCTACCCTAAAGTCTCCCAGTGAAAATAATTATTACCTATTTAATTCGCGTTTTTGACATCACTTGGGGGTCCAAATTTTGGGTACTAAAATTCTTATTCCTTGGCCAATTTTCGATTTTTTCATGCTGATTTGAAGGCCATTAAAGCATTTGAATCAGTTAAAAAAGTTTCAGTTTTATATCTTGTACGGTTTTTGCGGAAACCCGTGTTAAAGTTGATGCCGTGGTGTCAGTAAAATGGTGCGGATAAATAAATATATATATATATATATATCGTCTCGCTTTATATATAGTAAGATTATTATTTATTATGCGAACTAAAACTACAAGATTCTGTATAAATTTTATTATGCGAAGTAAAACTACAAAATTCTGTATAAGTTTGATATATTTATATTTATATGATGTATGTTTATATTGTATATTTATATCCTGTCTGATAAGGATTGTTATCTGACATCGATCTCAGAGTAGGTAAAATTAGCTTGGTTCACTTTGTAACAAATCATATTATTGTTTATTAATGTTACTTTGTTCTGGTTTCTCGAATTGTGTTCAATTGGCAAGCAGGTTTCCAAGAATTTGGCAGGATATTCAACCGCAAATTTCTTTTTAAAATGATCCTGAAAGCATATTTTTGTCTCAATTCTTGCTAAGTGAACAATGAATTCATGGTAGCTTTTATCTGTCAGCGAATGTTAAAGACCGGCTCATGTGAGATTTTCTTTTCCAAAGAAAGGAGTCAAAGCACATTCCCAAACCAACAACATAACAACACTTTGCTCATGAGAATTGCAAGCAGAGGGTTACTGCTTCGTTGTGGTTAGCAAACCCGTTGCTAACTCCTCTTATACCAAGGATTAAAACAAAAGGCCATTATGCCATTTACAAACTGTGGAATTATCCTCAGTTCTATCGACGCTACGAACTTGTGAGACCTGGATTTTGGGCTTTACTTCTAGAATTTCTACATTTGTACCACGCAAAACGCAGTGAATTCTTGAAATGTTCATTTTTATTTTATTCCAACTCGTTTCTAGCTTTGCTCATATCAATGACCTCTACACTGCTCGAACAACATATCAACCGGTGATTGCTGCTCGCAGAGCAGAAAATTTGTTGAAATTTGAGATAGGGTATGAACACAGTTAGTCGAACTGTAAGGACTGTCTTATTGTGTCCACGTGGCTTTTAATATTATAATTGATAAAAACCCACTATCAGTATCAAGGATTAATTTCAATTTTCCGACAGCCTCAAATTTCCTCCTCTTATTACCCGGTTCCGGTCCGGCAAAATCCGGCAAACCGGAAAATATATTGATATCCGGTCGTTTCCGGTTTGGTAACCAAAACCCCAAACCGGTCGGTTCCTATACTGAAACCACTATTTCTAAAATGTAATACCAAATCTCAGCTCAGCTACGAAACATGTATGTTTACTGGAAGCTAATATTTGGAGAGGACGCTTATCTATTCGGTGGTGATTACAGCTATGAAGACTACAACACAACAGACTATCCAGACTATCCAGACTATCCAGAATATCCTGGCTATGATTACACGCTCACTGACTCAGAAAAAGCTCTAAACTACATTACAGCAATTCTGTTCGTAGCATTCTTCCTTCTCTCCACTCTACTTAACCCCCTCCTGTTCTACTATTACGACCTCTCCGAGAGCAAGGCTAACAGATTGTTTAAGCTGCTTGCTGCTTCAGATTTTATAACAAATCTGTTTGCACCAGTTTATGCTGTCTTGATGTTCAGGTGAGAAAGTTTTCATATTAATTCTAATATGTTAGCTTTGAATTTGAGAATCATACAAGTAAAAAACGTTCAATTAACTGATATTGGTACATCGATACTCTTAGCATAACTTAATAAAAGGTTAAAATTGAATAACTGAAATCCCAGAAATGCATGAAATCTTGAATTGGAACATATCTCTATCCTTTAAAGTTCTACATGTCCAGAACTAGGGGTGCCATCTTCTTGGATAGGTTCGTACTCTTCGTCAGGATCGAACTCTAATTCGTATATTTCATCGTACTTGTGCTCCCTAGGGTTGAAATTATTGTGGTGCTGAGCTTCCGTGTTCATGCCACCAAATCGTTCGTTCATCATTTTCTCTATCTTTTCTTTGTGTTTAGTTAGCTCCGGGTCTTCTTTAACATCAACAGATTCGTTATCTTGTTTGGTATCTTCAGATGGTGTTTGCACATCAGGATCCTCTTCAGATGTTGCATCTTCTTGCACTGTGTCATCTTGACTTTCTTTATGGTCTTTCTTATCTACACTCGTTTGGTCTTTTCTCTCAAGAATATTATCTTTTCCATGTTGGGTAACGATATTGTCGACGTCATCTACCCCTTGTAGAGTAAGAGAAGGTGACAGAACACAAAGGATAAGAGCGAAAGTTATCATCATCCTGTGATATAACTCATATATTTAAACATGTTATGATAATTTTTGTCTTTTCTAAATTTGAGAGCCGTACAAGTGGAAACCATGTAATTACTTAATTATTAAACTAACGGTGGTATATTTATAGTGATCTTTTCGGCATTGAATTAGGAAATGACTGATCATCGGTACTGGTGTTATTAAGTTGCATGATCGTCACAAAATAATTTAGAGTAGGAACATAAGTTTAAAACTATTTTCACAACTGCAAATAAATGTATACAGCTGATTCGCAGATAGTTGTTTCGTGTATTCATGAGAAATAAATAACAGTGGTCTATTGGATCTTTCAACATAACTTAGTCAAACAAATCTGAAATAAAAATATTAACAAAGGTTAAAATTGAACTTGAAGTCCTAAATATGCACAAAATTTCAAATTTAAAGTAATAGTACATCTTCACTTTTCTAAAGTTCATCATGTCCATAATTAGAACTGCTGTCTTCATCGATAGCCTCATGCTCTTCGTCAGGATCGAACTCTAATTCGTATTTCTCATCATATTTGTGTTCTCTAGGGTTGAAATTATTGTGGTGCTGAGAATCCGTGTTCATGCCACCAAATCGTTCGTTCATCATTTTCTCTATCTTTTCTTTGTGTTTAGTTAGTTCCAGGTCTTCTTCACCACTACCAGACCCTTTCTCATATGGCATTTCTTCTGTAACGGTAGCATGAATAGATTGATACGCGTCTGGATCTTCTTCAGCGGTTGCATCTTCTTGCACTGAGATACCTTGCTTTCCTTTATGTTCCTTCTTATCTGTAAAATTTTGGTCTTTCTTATCCAAGATATTGTGTTTTCCGTGCCCAGTAACAAACTTCTTTAAATTATCTTCAGAAATTTCGTTAAAGAAGTAAGCAAGATTCTCAAAAGGGCCACTTCTTCCAGCAGGCAGAAGTACCATATGAGGAGGAGAAGACTTCATCATGAGTTTCCTCGGCAACTGGTTTGTTTCTACGTTTATCATTCCAACAGTCAGCGTTTCGGGGTTTTCAAATTTCTCTCCGAACTGTAAGAGTGCATTTTCATAGCGGACGCAAGATCTACATTGGTTTGATGAAGTCATTAGCAGTAAAATGTCTTTGTCAGTTCTACCAAGTATCCGATCAACTGAGACGCCCACAACGTCCAGAACTCCATCCATAACACCATGATCCGTGTCAGATTTTATAGTTGGAGCAACTTTTCCTTCCAGATACTGATTGATGTAATTTTCCAAATAGGTAAAGTACAGCTCTTCGGGTTTATTTTTGAATTCTTGGAGAGTTTTAAAGTTTGGAGTATATTTCCTGTAATTCTTATCTCTGATCATAAAAAGAAATGGTACACCGGCGTTAATGGTGTCAACCTCTTCAAAATCAACCGAAACATCTGCAACGTTTCCAATGAAGAAGGGGATCCCTTTATCCTGGAATTTCTTTGAAATGCCAGCTATGGCTTCTTTTAGATTCTTCATTCCTTCATCCCACGTGGGGTTCTCAACGAAGATCCCAGCATAGTGATCTAAATCACGCAATTGTGTAGAAATCCTTCCGCTGTCGATAACATTTACCAAACTAAATTGGCTTTTCTTAAATTGTTCAGCAAACCAACTTTGGCCAGCTTCTGTAACAACGTTTACTTCAACATGAGGAGGATCGGTAGATGTAAGAGTTTTAGCAGAGTGCTTGATAACAAATCTGGGAAATATAATCTCCATCCCCTGTAACATCGCTCTGTTAGTAACGAGGTAATGGCTGCAGAAATCTCGGGTGCTTTCTGCCCAAGATAGATAGTGGTTTTGGGTCTCGGTGTTATCATCTTGGTTGGGCAACAGAAGTGCAACAGCACAGGTTTTCGTTCCGGAAAGGAATTCAGAAGCATATTGTGACATGGTATTAAGGTCTTTGAGTGGAGATTTTAATCTTGCTTCAATGAACTTCACTGCAATTGCCCAGTCTTCACTGCCGTGATAGTGGTACATTTTTTCGTTGATGAACACTTTGTTCACAGACGCACCTCTAAGTTCAATCCCATACTTTTCCCCTATTTTTGGATATTTTGCCAGATCCACTTGGGCAACTCGGACCCCCTCACCATGCAGCTGTTTATTGACATGGTTAGCTAACTCATGTATCTGGCTGCCTTTACCAAGACACTGCTGTGACATACACCTGCTATCGGTGAATTTGACCCAACATATCCTCTCCTCGACACAGTCTGAGAAACTTGCCTCGTCCAGGATCCACAATGCTGACAAAGGGGGAACGTAGCTAGGTGACCCGAACTCTTTGATCCATTTGACAAGATCTTCGGGTGATGTTGGTGATCCTTTGTAGACTTGCTGATATGGGAAATCACTACCATCGATCACCATAGTAGGATAATTCCACACGTCATACCTGTCACCACTTGCTGCATGCTCGGATACATCTATCTGAGATAACTTTATATCCACGGTACTATCTTCTTCTATCTGCTGTGAAACTCTCCTGAAAACGGGCAGCGCAGCTTGACAAGTGCCACAACTCGGGCTGTAGAACATGATGCAGAACTTTCCAGGCTTGGTGATGAAACTTGCAAATGTGTCATCTGTTAACTCTTGCAGGGCAAGAGAAGACGGCAGGAGACACAAGATAACAACGAACGTTATCATAATCCTGTGACATTTTTATAAGTATATCATAACGGAATCGAGTTTCAGAGCATTGAATAGGTTGAAATAAAATAAAAGATATCACAAATACGAACAATACGACCCGTGAAACCGAAATAAAAGGTAAAACTGTAAACGAACAAAGCTTTTGTGAGAACGGCTACTTCAGGAAACAGGGCCTCAAGATTTAATACAAGAACAGTCAAATGATCAATACACAGTACAGTGTAGACGTGTCTAAAAAAAACAGCTGATAGAAGGTCAATGACTGGTTGAACTTGCTACACGCTGTTTGTGTAGCTACTTGTTAGTTATGTGGCAAGGTTGAACAAACGATACCATATTCCCCAATTTTAGAGGAATTTGTTTCCCTTTGAATCAATCAAACTAGATGAATTGTTGTAAATACTGAGATCAAACTATCAATCTACAGGCTATCGTCAAACATGTTGCAAGGCGTCATCTTCAGTGACATAAGCCCTAGAAATTGTAAAAAGTTAGTAAAACCCAAAATTCCTTTAAAAATCTGAACACTCTTAAAACGGTTATAAAGTTAAAATTAAGATGTTAGGAGTAATGGAAGGCTAAAAGGATTTATAGTGTTAATTCCCAAAGGTTTTAAAGTCTTGAGTAGTTGAATATATTTATGTTCCCGGACATCCAAAGTTTTAGGACTAGAATTATCAATAATTGACACATTAAAAATTTTGTTAAAATCTTCCCTTTGTCTAAAACCATGATCCAACAAATGTAAACCCAAACTATATTCATCACTTGTTTCATCTACCTTATCACCATTTAAAAGTTTATAATATTTGACCCTATGTTCTCCAGTCCTAACCCGTAGAGATCGAGTTGTGCGACCGACGTAAGCCTTTCCACAGGCACTACATTGGAACAGATAAATGATGTTGTAGCTCTGGCAGTTTCCAGGGGAAGCTTTAACCTTCTTGCCGTTCACTTTGAATTCACGGGTGCCTTTGACAAGTTCACAACATTTGCATCTTGGCACATTGCATTTGCTGGTTGGGCCATGTTGAGCTCCTAAAGCAAGTTCTTTCAATTTGACGAGGCGAGATTTTAGGCTTGGCCCTGTTTTCTTTGTGTAACTGAAAATTGTCTTCCTAGGCGTGGCAGATGTTGTGGAGGTCTCTTGGGATGTTTCAGCAGTGTCACTTTCACTGAAACTCCTCGTTCTTGAGAGGTGTTCTTCATACTTCTTAGTCACATTCCCCAATTTTATCTAAGAGAAGGCGTTCTGATAGAACGCACTCGAGAATATCATGAATAAAACAACTTAAACACCGTCTCTTTTTCAGCCCGAAGCTCTACTCTGGTTCCTCAACAATCCTGCTCCATGTTCGCCCCATCGTGTGTGTGTTTGGCTGCTTCTCACAAATCTTCACCGCAGTTCTGGCAATAACCAGACTCCTTAGCATAATCATGCCATTCCTTCACTTGAGACAAAAGTACATCTTTGGGTACATCATGATCCATATCCTTTACATGATTGTGGCGAATATGACCTACTACGGGATAGACGCGTTCTACGCGAAAGAGGACCTTACCGAACTCCTGGTATCTGTAATGAACATAATGGAAGATGTGTGTTTCTGGTCTTATTTCCTACACTGTATGGTGGGAGTGGTAGCGTCCATAGTAACGTTCCTGTTCCTGCTGGTGGAGCGAGGTAGGAATCCAGCTACAGCTGAGAAGTATCTGAGAAGTAGCATCACACTCCTCCTCATGAACCTGCCTTACATTATCACCATGGTCCTCATTGGTGGGATTCAATGGTCGGCAGCGTGGGGACTGAACAGCAGGGAGATAGTGTTCGCGTGGGTTCCTATTTTTACATCTGCACTAGATCCGGTGATCGTGATTGCTAGGAAGAAAGAAGTAATGGAGAAGGTTGCAGCTGCTGTAAGGAGCAAAGAGGGACACTCCGTCTCGGGAACCAGATCAACAATGCTATCTCAACAAGTTTAAATCATACTACTGCCTCTACAATCAAGCTAATATGTACTACAATCAAGTTAAGTTGTACTGTATCAAAACCAACACTATGACTAAACAAATGAACAGAATCTTGTGATTTATTTACATTATTAATTTACATGATTTTACAGTTATAATTGATTTGTATTTTTTAGTAGTAATAAAATTCGGGGCCGAGGTATACACTATACATGTAACTGTCCAGTTGGACGATACTGGATATTCAAAAAGGCGTCAATGACAATATTCAACCTTATCATACTGTTCTACCCAACTTTTTGACTTGTGCCAATGTAATACTAATATAATCATGATACCATATGTATGTACTATGAAAGCTTCTTATAAAAATTAAATCAGCATCTTAATTAAATATAAAGTTAAAATAGTGGCGAGGATAATAGGGAACTTTCCGCCTTGATTTGCGGAGAAAAGGGGAAGTAATAGTACCTACATATCTGAGTACATGATATGAGAATGGTATGTACCTGCGAGTGCATAGTTTGGGAATTGGGAGTGGTACGTACCTGTGCGATGGAAGATTTTAGGAACTCCTGGGACTGCAGGACTGTCTCCACGTTCTCATGGGCATATTTCAGAGCTGCTTTAGTGAGGGCTGCTAGATTGTGAGCAGAGGCTAAGTTAGCCATGTCTGAAAATAGTATCATGGTAACGTACCTAGTGCCGACAAGCACGACAATTATATAAAATATTTTCTTTGTCGCTGCGTCTAGCTTGTTGAAATTTTAGAATTGTAATGCCTTTTTGTTCGCCGATCGGCAGCGATCAAAAACGCAGTGGTCTGTCTTAATGCTGCATCGATCAATATTAAAGACACAAATTTAAAATGTGAGAATCACTATCTTGAAGTTTATATCAGCATTGATTGAAAGCAAATATGCATATTGCATAATATGTGGAATGTAGTGATAAAAACTGGAAAGTCTGCAATCAGTGGACATGTCTGACTTACTGATGCAGTTGTCAGGACACAAGTTCCTGATGAGGGTATCAGTACAGGCATCTCTGACCTCCTGGATATCAAACATATCAGCTACTTTGAGCAGGTCCTCCACCCCGTCTGTTACTATCTGTATCTTGCCTGTATACATGAAGTTCACCACCTGCAGAGGGAAGGGTTTTATGTGGGGGTCACGTTTTTGTCAAGGAGATGGCTAGGAAAACTAGTATAAGATGGTGCATTTCATTGAAAATTGCGATATATTTGAAGTTGATGCGGTCAGGAACATTTGTGTTTTAAACTTACAAATCGTTGGAGCAGTACTTAGATGTTACTTATCAGGCTACATGTGAAAAAGCATGCATTTGTCATTTGGCATGCCGATGACTGAACTTTAAACTTTATAGCAGCTTTACAATTACTTATTAGTTATTACATCTCGAACTTACGTAGATGCCGAACATTATAACTATCAAATATTTGGTCAAAATATACGCTAAAGTTGAAAAATGCGTAGTTCATTAATTTATTACAATCATAGTCTAGGACTGTAGAAATCGACAACATTAAACACGTGACATGCAACCATACAAACTGAAATATTTGATTTTCCTGAATAGAAATTTTCTACTGGTCAAGTTAGATTGATGTTGCCATTGATGTGGCCACATGTACCAAACTACTAATAATAGTTCCGTCCCAGTAATCTATAATAATAACGCACCTTATTGACTGAGTCCTCCTTCATGTTCTTCAGCTCCACCACATCTGTCTGGCCTTCTTTTAGATCCGTCGTAAACATGGCTCTAAAATACTTAGAACATGCTGAGAGAATGCACCTGCCGAATAAAGTGGTTAAGTTTGGGGGTATGGGGCAAGCACAGAGGTAATTTAAATTTATATATTTATAAATAGGTTTCAGACGAATTATCGTATGAGTTTTTGTAATGAACCTCAAACTGCCGGTCAAATTACCATCTCAAGGTGCAGTCCTGACGCAAGCCGCTGCACATTTGCCCTTTTAAAGCAATGAAATGAGGCGAAATATCAGCCGGTATATTTAGAATAGGGGTTTATTGAACGTAACACCTCATGCGCTAAACACAAAGTGGCATTGCAGTTGACGATTACAACGTTAAAGTGACGCTGCTGATCTCACCAGCTGTTCAGCAATAGTTAGATATAATGAACATTTAGAGGAATCATTGTCAGTTTATCCTGGTATACTTTTTAACGTGGCACAAAGATTTGGTTTAGTAAGCATGGCAACCCTGCGCTTAGAGCATCTGATAAGTTTCTCAATCTGTATCTCCGGGATTCTCTCCAACACAATTTCTTTGGTATATTTCGTGAAGCGGGAGAGTGTGGGCCTCATCAACCGACTGTTCATCCTACTTAACACTTTCGATCTTGTTATGTGTCTGTCAGGTACACTAACCATGACCACTGCTACCTGGGGACTTCACGGCAACCCACCATACCTGCTCTTCAAAACCCTTCTCTCAGGTTCAACTCAGGCTACTGGACTTGCTACTGTTCTGATAAGCGTGTGTAGAGCTATTAAGATATGTCGACCCTTTGATCACAGGATTAGAGGGACCAGGGTCACAGTTTTTATTGTTGTGATGTGTGTGGCTGGGTTTGGAGTTGAGATAGCTGACGCGGCGGTTAGTGAGATTTGTACGGTTGAAACACATGACCGGTTCAGGGACTACAAGAGGGTTTACTATACTGTTATGCTAGTGGTATCAGTCCCGACTATTCTATCTGCAAATATCCTGACTATTACAGTGCTTAGGGAAGCGAGGAGCGAGTCTGATGAAGATGATTTTATGGATATCCGACCGACAGTAACTATTATTGTTCTGTCAACAATATTCAGCTTTATAAGTTTCCTGGTGTTGGTTCACCTTGTGCTACTCCTTGCTAATGTAAAAGATGACCCAGTTACAATCTACTTTTTCTTCTTCGGTGTACCCCTCAACTCTGCCTTAAATCCGTTTGTGTACATTATCAGAAATGAACAAATGCAGGTGTTTGTTCGATCTATGTTTTGCAGTTGTAGACCGAATGAAAGACACCGCTCCCAAACAAGATAGATATCTTCAACAAATCTGCATGCCAATGGAGTTACTAGAGACTATCTTCAGCTTAACGGCATATAGTTCACGACCACTGACCACTCAAGCCAAACAAATTGGCTTCAAGCCAGTTACGAAAGGTTAAAATTTGCGCTAAAACGATCGAACCGTGCATAATTTATCAATTTTAAACATACATAATTCGAACAGAGTGCAAAATCTGATAAGTTATCCTTACGACCTTACTTGTGTGCCTTGATTTCAGTTTCTCCAATCTTCACAACAACATCAGTGAACTGTCTCGCCAGAAACACATCACCAATCCCATCCAGAAGAAGTCTGCCGTGTCTTTCGGAGTTGTACTCTCTTAGCAGCCCATCAGCTGTGACAACCGACCTCAACCTGGAAGTGGAGATTTAAGAAAAACTCGTGATGTGGGGCCCTTAATTACTTATAGTTACTCATAACTAAGATAGAGGATGATTTGAACTTATAGATAGGACTCTAGCTTAAAGATTAATATACATGTGTGTATTTGCATATGGTATACGCATGGCTATCAGTACGTTTAAGTACGGGTTGACTTAATCAGCGTGTTAGTAACAACTACCTTATCGGACAAAATTGTCACGGACAAGTTTTTCACGGATAAGTTTTTCACGGACAAGTTTTTCACGGACCAAATTTTTCACGGATATAATATTATTCACGCTCATAACCGCCCAAAATGTTTTACTCTTTAACTTTTTCTAAACTCTAGAATATGACTGAGGAGTGATTATATTTGTCCTAGTTTACTAATAAACTAATATGGTAATCGGCTACACACATATCTACGCATATGTAGGGACACACATACAAAAATTAATTGAAATAATTACCGGACTTTTATATTATTCACGGACCTTAATGAATCTTAATGCCATAAACATTATTTTCACGGACTTAATTATTCACGCTAAGACCTTCAGCGTGAAAGTAATGTCCGTGATAATCATGACCGATAAGGTATATAAGTTGTTTGTTAGTTTGTTCTAATATGTTTATTCGGTATGTGTGTCAGACGCTATCATTGATAGCGTCTGACACACACAATACACATGGTGTATCATATAGTATCATAGTGTATTGATAGTATCAATATCTTTTTCCAAATTCTGGTAAATCTGTCGTTTGTATGTATGATTGTGAAGTTATGCCACGTTCCATGTTATAAACACAAAATTTGTTTTGTTACAAAACAAAATTTGGTCTGTCGTGTATCCATCTGACCTGCAAAAACCAAAATTCGCCTGAATAATTAAACAATTTCAATGTGTTTACTCAGATGGTTAACCCAAATTCCTGCAAGTGCAACAAATAAACCAATGAACCATGCATACTGCAACCCGATTGAAAACTTCCAGCACACATAACACACATACATAACGTATCTAGCGGTCACACAATTTAAAAATCTCTAGGCCTGGTTTCCGCTTCGAGACCTCAGCCTGTCTGACCTGTTTATTACGCCTAACCACCGACTCCTTGATGAATAACTCTTATCTCGTTTAACTTTACTCTCGGGAGACATCTTGATATTTGTTGCCATGAATCGTTCAATTTGTCTTCATCTTGAAGAACACGAGCCTTATAATACAAAACAACATACAAACTAGTGAAAAAAAGTAAAATCTACTAATGAAGCATAGGACACAAGACGTTCGTGGGAGAAACGGCGTTACATGCGAAGTAAGACAGCTAAAATGTTTACGTTGTTTTTTGACCACTTGAAACAAACCTCGATAATCCACCGACTTAACCACACGTGATGATGTTAAAGTCATCTGTATTGGAGGATCTCTGAATATTTAAGGATTTACGGGTTCACCGTATGAAAGTAAACTGTGAACCTATGAGAGCCCCGGTAACTGTCACGTGCACGTGTCCATTATTTTGTCTCCGGAATCATAAATATTATGCTATAGCGAGTGTCATGCATTGGCTCCGTCCTTTATCAAATATTAGGTCGACCGGAAGTCTGCTAGACCCTAGCACCATGTTACATAGGGTTACAACTTTTTTCAATTTAATGACGTGGATCGAGTAATTACCGATTAAATCCCACTTGATGAAAATATTGGCAGGACAGGATGGGGAGGATTTTAAACTCCCGAGTCACGAACGTCAATGAAGTTTCAAGGCAGCCACAGTAAAATACACAGCAGTATAGCGACAACATGCATCAGGATCTATAAACATATTTTCATCTCATAATCAAATAATAAACAATCAAATATTTTATTGTGAGGGCGTGAAACTCTCGAATGTTCTGTGAGAAAGTTTTTAATGTCAAATAAATTGGTAAATACAATAAAAACGGGATAGAAGCAAAGCATGTCAAGTATGTAATATCACTGATCCGTCTCAACTACAATTGTTATCAAACATACTCAAAGAGGAGCTTGCCAGCTTCATCGTAAGCTCCTGTCTCAGGATCCCTTTTCTGAACAGCTGGCGGACAGCTCTTAGTTTCTTTATCTTCTGTCACCTTCTCCTTATCACTTTCAGTTTGTTCATCTGTCATCTCCTCCTGGCTACTAATAAGTTCACTCATTACCTGTCACCTGGTGTTACAATGGCTAGATTGGGAAGAAAATAAACAGGTCCATACCTCGACTCAGATGACATCGATAAGAGTTTGTAGATAACTGATTTTCAAAAGAATTATAAAATTTATCGTTCCATGTAATCAAAATATTGAACGAAAAACGTGAACCATCCAGAAAGGTTGGAATGACTTACAATGAAATAATTCAATGAAATGAAAAATACAAAGCATGATAAATATCATGCAGTGCTGTAAAAACTGCAAATAAACCAGCGGCCAGTAATATTTAAACTGGCGCTTTCATGTTCCATTCCGGCAATATAAAATACCACGAAATTTTTGAATGCACGTGTCAAAATAGAACTAAACAAGAAGAGGCCTATTAGTGAACAATATAGCGTAAAGCTGAATTTCGTAGTAATTATAACAGGCATGCAGTGGACAAGCTCGTGCTGATCTATCTAAAAATAAGTGGTCGAGAAGAACAGAGTTCCAGTGCTGTTTTGTCAAAATATGGCATTATTATTAAGATATTGTCAAAAAATAAAGCGAGGTAGCCACCCGGCTGGCATATTTGGAAGCATCGAGTGAATCTTAAAACGCTGAAGTCGCACTATATTAAGTTCATTGTGGCCAATAGAGTTTGTGAAAAAGGAAAAAGATGTCATGTGCATTTATATTTCAATGGAAGATTCCAAATTATGCGGAATCATGCGCTTGAAAATTAGCTGTCTCTAACATGCAGTATATGCACGGTAATATAAATATGGTGAAGATTCAAATAATTCCGACTGATTGTCGCAAAAACAAAACAGAACACGAAGACGCTTCCTCCGAAGTTCTGTAAAATGTAACATGTAACGATTCTTGGGAATGCTTTGATAACAAATTATAAAATATTCCCGAACTTTGTTTATAGGTCGCCAACATTGATAAACTACAACTACAAGCATGATTCGGTTAAACCCGGCCATGACTTAAGACTTTGACCACCATTGTGTTTGATGTTTTCTCGGGATGCCGGATGTATAAAAGTTCAATGGGATTATGATCGAGAAAGGGTTAGCGTAAGTATGAGTTTAATAGTTTAGTATGACTTTGACCACCATTGTGTTTGATGCTTTCTCGGGATGCCGGATGTATAAAATTTCAATGGAATTATGATCGAGAAAGGGTTAGCGTGCGTATGAGTTTAGTAGTTTACGATTCTCAAGTTTACGATTATAGCGTAATGCCTAATATAAGGTTATGATAATTTAAGGCCTAAAATAAAGGGTTACGAACGTAATCAACGTAATCAACCCTATGTTATAACTTTATAACTTAAACATAACTCATGTGAATGGCTGCAACGGTAGAAATGTACGCAAATCCAAGTTCCTCATATGAGAGAGCATGATTTACTACACTCGAGGCGAAACCTAAAGCAAAAATTACAAACTCTTCCCCACAGCCCTAAATGTAATTAGACTAAAAATGTTATTTTGTGACCGCTAAGACTAAATGCATATACAATATACATTTTACATGGACATAAATATGATGGATATTTCACAGATATGACCCGGATATAACTTTATGTTTAACAAGCAATTTTCGGTTGTAAGCTTGCCGAACTAAGGTAAAGTGTTTTATTGCTCGAAAGGTCGAAGTTGGTGGTCAGTAGTTCTATCAAGGAATCTTTCTAATTTCAAATGAAACATCCGTTAATATATTGCTGAGCACTTATTTGATGACTCTTAATTATAATGACAATTATTAATAGAGTTGATTGGTAATAAGTGAAATAAGAATGCACCACGCCACCACGAGAATTATGGGGAGTAACGAAACTCGTGTGTCCATCGGCGCCCGCGGTGCAGCCACGCCAATTCTAGACCCAAAAATACTTAACATGCCCAGAGCAACGTTTGTGGGTGCTTTACTTTAAGTTTAAGCTACTGGTCTTCTGAACATTATCAAAATTTGACAAACAACGGCTGATCTATGAGCCATACCAAAACGACATGTTCATATATGAGACCAAACATAATAACATTCAAAAATGCATGCCCTGTTTGACTTTAAAGTTTAAATATCCTAAACATTTCATGGGACCGGGGCGAAGTTAAGCATCGGATTCAGAGGTGTCACTAGTAATTTAAATGACATCACTTGATCATCAATAGTGTCATCCAGTCCTAGGATCTGAACAACTTTAAGTAACCAACAGAATCGCAAATGACGGAATATTTCGACCCAGATGGATCATATTGTTGCCTATTATTAATCATGCAAGTAGTTCGCGGTGTAATATTGTATGTAGTGTAATATTGTGGTGTAAGTCATTTTTGTGTCGTCTGGGTGTGGGAGAATAATGAACACTTGTTTCAAGATGACAAATCATAATTTTTCTTTCATAACGTCTTTAAATAACTTTCAGCATCTATCAAATTTAGTTCTAGGAAGTGAAAACCAACCTCTTGGATTAGGCGAGAAAAATAAATCGTGGCCTGAAATCTTGAAAACAAATTCTGTCGGCAGACCTTCTTTGTCAAGTTGGTTTCTGAGAATTAATGTTTACTGCAGTTAAGTCACTGCAGACCAAGATGGTATACCTATCAAAGGAAATTCTAGTTTTAAAAACTATAACTTTAAAACTCAGGATCATGTACGAATAACAACAACCATATAATTATATGTATATGCAATACGCATAAGATGATTAAATAGTCTTTGGCTAGCAACGGGAGTTGATAATAACAATCCAAATATTCATCTTCATAATTCTAAGGAATCGAAGCTGTTCAAGTTCCTTCATAGCACCAGGGTGGTCAGTGGTGATATCCAACATGTCCACTGTCAGGTGTCTACAACAAGCAGAGTGCGCCGGTTCTTGTTAAGCACTTCTTGACAATACCGCAGTTAGGTGCCAAATAAGAAGTTTGTCATGCATGTGATGGTAAAATTGGCAGGGTCAACAACAACCACACAACCATCAAAGTTACTGATAATTTCCTTTACTGATTTCTTACCAATAATAATCTATTGAATATTGTAGTGGTTTTGCAGTGCCAGTGGTATATTCAGCACCTACTTGAATGATGGTTTATTTGATGATCTGTACAATGGAATGTGGTTGGTTGTCTCGGCTCAGCCAGGTATCCATGCGAATAGTGTGTAGTGATGATGGTCAGTCTTAGGAGATGCGCTTCCAACCACTTGTTTCCATCACAAGCATGGCAGTAAAAAATACCATCTGGTATTCTTTTATCATAGGACATAGATGCAAGATGCACTTCAAGTGCGGATAGATCACTGTTACATGTTACCGAAAATTTTACAGCCACGCCGATACCTCATGTTGCCTACTTGAGCAATTCGTCTCCAAATTTCAAACAAACCGCGAATAGGGGTTTTGAAACTCAATTTGGTATTTTCATGGTGAAATTGTTGATATATTGGTAGGTTTAACAAATGAATTTTAGTCTATGATAAGTGTTGAAAAATCAAAAATGAAATAAGAATTACGATGTGTAAATGATAATGATCGTTACATATTATTAAAAATCAATCTTTTAGCTTTTTCTCTTTCGGAAATTAGAAAATTAGAACGATTACCGGTCATGTCTTCAGTATTCAAATCGAGTAGCAGTAGGATAAATGTACAGAATTTTGCAAATACGCAATGTAAGTACTAGGGGGAGGGTTTGCTTACAGAGGAAGATAGGGGTTAAAATTGGTCAACAATAACATGGTGTACTGACTCTGAAAATTTAAATTCAAAATTTTGGCGACAGAATCATCAATGTCTACTGCAGAAAGCCATGAACGTATGTGAACTGATTTAAAAAATATTTACAAGAAACTTACTCTGTTCAAACATTTAATAAGAACATAATTAAGGAAGCATGATATTATAAATTTTAATTATAATTAAAGTGAATCCCGGTTGTTAGAACAATAATCAAGTGCTCGCCACTTGTTTCTTGTTGTTTTTATCAGGCGCTTTTTCTTCATCCAAAATGCATTGCTCCTAGCCGTAGCCAAAGTCGCCGCTAGTTAAACTCAGTGGATCGGTGCTTACGTGAATTTTATTGTGCATGCTACATATTATAATTGATCGCAATTCTTTAAAATGGATAATTTTTCAATTTTAAATTTAAAATTCTTCCTCCTCCCACATAAGAATCCGTACCGACTTTCTTTTAGTTTCGTTGTTAAAAATACATTAATATCAATTAATATTTGACATTGTTACCAAATTACCAATTATCACCGAGTTTTCATTTCAGTTTAAGGACCTAAAAGGTTAACTATGAGTACACAGTTAACTTTTAAGCAGATGAAGTTGTTACTACTGCTTTTTGCAGAATAGCGTTGCTCCAAGCAAGAGTAGCTTACACAACAATCACGCTGCAAGCGCCATTAAGCTCACCTTTTTCGGTACCCGGGTCCAAATGATTCCCAAATGGAGGAAGCCATAAACATCATCAGATTTTCAAAATTAGCCGCACAAATTCACGATACAACTAGTTATAACTCAAAATGTCTCGAACAATGATGAAACACAAGATTCAGCATTATTCGCTATATATATATGCACATAGTAGATAGTCTGGTCGAACAATCGTATGCTTACTGGCAAAAAACCACAAGCCTAGTAAGACCGGTTCTAAAATCCAATAAGACTATAAGGCTGCAGTTACAGACTCACACTAAAAATAACTTACAGGGACAGTGCCAAGGAACCCCTTCGCCGGTATCCGATTCCAAATGTTGTCCAATTTGAAGTCATTGCGTCAATTTTCAATATCGGCTCAAAACGAACTCAAAATACAATGAGCATCTTCGCAAGGACCCTCATCGATGATAAAATACACAATTCAATAATGTGAGACGGTATTCGGTGTCACATACAATTATGCTTACTGGCAAAAACCACAGAGGTGGATAGTGACTGGCTGATAGGGCGGTTAAACTGTCGTTAAAAACAGGTTAGTGGGGGAGGTATACATGACCTGTGTGGTAACCGAACCATAATAAGTGTTAAAAATGTGTGCTTGCCATGTCAGGCTTGTCATACACAGCAGTCAGTCATCATGTGATGTTTTTCTAGACTGCAAGCAGTAATTTCGTCAATGTTCTGACCACCAGAACATTTTATTGTAGATTACAAACAAACGGGTCTCCCGAGAAATATGCGTGTTTACTAGCTAATTTAGGAACAGGAGTCCACATTACTGTTATTATTATTAACGTTAATATAATAATATAATGAACAAATAAAAGGTTCAGTGAAGCTAAAACACCTTCTTCTATTTTTACTGTTCATTTTAAAGAAGCATGCTTATAAATATAATGGTTAAGATTTAAGAAGGGTACAGTTGGGACAAGTCCCAGAAAACAACCTTACTCTTACCTGCTGGTACTTTTATTATTATCGTTTCTGACTCGATTCACGATATTTGCAAACCGTCCCGCCATCATATATCTTTATTGTATGCGATTTACATCGACGGAAAGTTAAAAAAATAAACAATTAACCACGGACAGGATCATATAACAAAACCGAACTCAGATGTAGTCGAAACAACGCCCACAAGTCGATATATTGCGGGAAACGAATTTTACAACTGCAATGCAAATGAAGAAGTCACGTGAGCGCCAGATGATGATTTGACACAGTGCTAAGTGCTGGTAGCATCTGTCCTTGATGAGTCCGTAGTGAATCGCTTGTCTGTTAGCCAATGGCGGACGACCTAGCCGTTAATTTAGCAAGACATGTGATCTAATGCGTATGCTTGTGCACTAGATTTATCGGAATGATCGTTTTTTAAATGTGTCTGCCTGCTGCTGTTAACGTTATTGAATAGAATGGCGAATCCGGTAGTCGGTTTGTTGCTCTGAAAGACTAAGAAATCAAGAAGTATAGAGACTGCATCGTTTCACTATTGATAATTTTTAAAATATCACATACGTTTTCCTAATATTTTACCCTACATGGATTGGCTTACATATAGTGAGCCAGGACTATTTAATCAGGTGCCCTTGAAAGATAAGGACAACACATAACATCCCCAATGTAAAGGAGGCGGACAAATGCTGTAAAGTTAAACAAAACCAGTTAAAACATTTGACAAACATCCAATTTAAAGAAAAATATCACATGTGAAATTGACCGCGAGGTTTTAAAGTGACCGCAGGTCTCAGTTCGAAGAGTCGACAAAATCGGCGTTTGCCATTCGAACACAGCCCTCGCCATAGAGACGAAATTACGAAATAGTGATGGCTATATGTATTATGCATCAACGTGAATAGACATCGTCATGGTACATCAGAATTTCGACCTGTAAACCTGTAAATCTTCATCAGATGTTGATCAGAATCGGAAAATGTAACTCTTAAAAAGCTTTCGTCAGATTGGTCGTCACGCATGCTCAAGAAACAGAGCTGTATATACTACTCACAACAGTGGTCAGTATGGTCAGTGTGGTCAGTTACATTACTGTCTGGTAAGTTGTTTGCTGGTTGTGGCACCCTCTCCACTACATACACTCTTTAAACTTGTAATAATCTCGAAAACCTCAGTCAGAGACAGCTCTTCAGTTGTTATCTTCTTCCGAAGCAGAGTCTGCACGGACAGACTATGATGAGGAGGATCTGGCCGAGAGACAAGCCGCCAGCTGAGTGTGAAGCTTGTCTGCTGTATGACCGCTGCCGGCTGGTGGTTCTGTTTAATGAGCCGCTTCTAACCGGAAGGGCGTCTACTTTGTCGCTGTTCTTGATGGCCTGTTCTTGCTTTGCTATGTCGTGAGGGTCGGGTGTCTTGATATGACCTGATTTCTTCGTCCTGTCTTTTCGTCTTATCCCACTGGATGGGAGGGATTAACAATTACTTGCAATAATGTAGCTCATGTTTATGGTAATTGTTATGCGAATAATAATAATCAATTGGTTACAGTTTCATGTAAATAATGTGGTAAGTAGTTAAGTAAGGTTACATATGGTTTAAAGATAATATTGTATCCCTAAAGATGTATTGTATCCCCCAAATTATTCTGAGTTTATCGATAATTATAGTTTACTAACGTTATGTCTGAATCCGTAACATCATCAAAATCTATCTTCGGGTTGAGGCTGATGCTTTGACTTCTACTTTCCTCTTCGTCCTCGTTCAATCTGTAAAATTGAATTGAATAATTATCATACAAGCATATTATGTACTTTATAAAAAGCTTTGTTAAGAAATATTTCTTGACATGTTGCTTCACAGATTTACGATTACAGCTCATGAATAGCCTTACAACTTTATTAAAAGCATACGAAGTTGGAAAATTAAAACAACGTACTGAATTATCACCTGTAAGACGACACGAAAATATCGTACATAATTAATCAATAATGAAGCTGCACTGCTGAAGAAAAAAATAATGCATCGAATCATTTTACATTACTGTAATTTTATAAATGGTGATCATCTCCGTGCAACATTTCAAACAATAAACAACTCACCTAACAGGAAGCCCGGTAATCTTCGCAACCTCCTCATCCGCCTCCACATCATCGTAATGGCCAGGGGAACTCATCGCTACAGCATCAGGCGTTCCTCGTCTGGAAAGTTGTTTGTCTGGAGACCTGGGTGGTTTGCTAGGTGATCCCCTCGAACCATGAGGTGATCCCCCTCTGCCTATTCTTCCAGTACCAAGCTTGACATCATCGTCAGCGAATGCTCCATCACTGCTACTATCATGCTCTGGGACGGACTGAGAAGTGAAACAGTAACAATCGATCTGTAGGAGTACAGTTACCAAGTGTGGAATGTTACTTCTACGTTCTAGAAGGTTGTTCTCAAGACAAGGGGCATGGTGGAAGCAAGATGGTGATGAAATGTGTACATTAATGTACACATATAATCCAGTTTGAAGATCTGCAGCAACATACTGTGGCCAGTGGCAGTAACTACATTTAACTAACTAGATAATTTTCACCTGGAATACTTGGCGGTGTGCAGGTGATCTTAGTGGGTCTGCTGAAGCGTCCATACCAAATGTGTTTTGGTAGAATTCTGGGGTCAGGTTGATAGGTCCCGGAGAGGTTCTACAGGATGAGGAGAATACTTCATTATTACGGTTAATAAAGCGAAATAAACACTGAAATCGGTTTAAAATCCAACGCAAGGATGAGCTTATCGTGGTTTATGGAGTTTAAGAAAGACAAGATGAGTAAAGTTATTCTACCTATTAAGAGAGTTCATTGAGTAAGCCCTGCTCTTGATAGTTCCAAACTCTTCAGTGGGAAGGGATGTTGGAAGGACCGCATGTAGGTCAGACTGCCATTCTTCCAGAGCAGCGTTCACGAAACCCTTCGGCTTTGCTCGCTGGAATCCCTGTAAAAATTGCATTGTAGGTGAAATCAAAAAAATTCATCATGATGGTTTTGATATCACAAAATATACCTTAATCCCAATGATCGTTAAACCCAAAAGCAAGAGATGTTGAAGTCAGAGGATGAATTGATGAAATAAGAGCATCATGTAGAATGCGGACCTTGTGGTAAACGAGTGTCATGATCTGCATGTATATCTGTTGAATATCACTGTCAGGGGTTATTAGTTCCGTTTCGTCAGGCACGGCAACACTCGACTCTTTCTTCTTCTTCTTTTTCTCCTGCTAGAGTGATAAAGTTGGTTTTTAATGGGTTACGTTTTTACATCCATTCTCTGATTTATAATTTAAGAAAGATTCAAAGGATAAAGAAATATAACAGGTTTTCAATGAACAGTTATGAGAATTGAGAAACTCTGTACGCCCCAATTGATTTAGGAGGAACAAATCGGAAAACGACCGCTGTTTCCATAGCTTAAAGGGTTTATGACTGCCTACCTTCTTGTTTGTACCGTTGATGATAGACTTCTTCCTGTCCTCAGTGATTGAGTTAAGGTTGCTGCTAGCAGCGCTGGCGTTGCTATTCATGCTTGTTCTACTTGATCTGCGTCCAAAGAACGATGTAACGGACATTCTGCTTCCTCTCTGAAATATGTGGGTGAGTATGGACCATAAAGTGGGTAAGTGTGGATAAGTGTCTGATAATTGAGAAGTTTAGTAAAAATAGTGCAGAGAATGGCAGTGGTTAAAACTTGATTTCTTATTTTGTTGGCGATACACATTAGAAACACATACCTTCTCCTTCGAAACCTCTTCTTCCTCCTTAAATAAAACTTGTGCAGGGAGGGGTTGTTCAGCTATGAGTCTGGCCATGAATGTGTAGTATCTCATGCCGTACTTCTCCTCGATCTTTACGACTTGTGGGGCTGGAACTCCCCGCTTGTGAGCTAGTCTACCCACCTGTGGTGTGATTGGTAAACGTGGTCACATCTCGTCGTGCACTCGACCCCTAAAATAAGCATTTTCATTTCCACACTAAGTGATTTTTTACCCCTAAAACATACCCAGAGAAGGCAAATGAGCACACGACGACCGTTGAGTCTATCTGCCAGGTCGCTAACCGAAAACAAATAGTCCCGTTCCAGACCGTACGTTTTGCACCACTGGAGGAAAGAGGCTATGTTGTGTCGGCCGTTGTGATGCGTCTCTCCTGCAGTTTAATATATGCATAACTATTATATGTACTCTTAGCACATAATAATAACAATATGTATAGAATTTATAGAATATTGCATGTTTAATGAGAAAACCATGTCTTCAGGGTCCAATGGTAAGTTTACCTTCATCTTCTGAGTCTGGGTACATGATGTTGCTAATCTGTCGTCTTGCTCCGAAGCCCGTCATAGCATTGATAGTGTTGCCAAAGTTGCACAGTGCGATACCGTCAGAGATCTTGTCCAGAAACATATCGTATGGTAGAGTGCTCCTAAAAGTAAACGCTGTAACCGTCAAACTCTAATAATCTAAAGTCTTAAAGTAAATTGCAACAGCTGCAAACAAATTGCAAGACCGATATTGCACTAAAATGAGCTCAGGTTACCGGGTTACGCTATGAGAAATTGTGCTGAAACTACGTTCATGGTTGTGCTCAAATTGCGCTCCCGGCCCCCGGGTTTGAGTGCAACAAGGACAATTTGAGCCTAATTGTGCTGATATTGCTGTATAATACCTGATACGCATCAGGCCAATATATATTCAAAATTGATACTACAATCATTGATAAAATCTTTAAAACTACAAAACAGAAGATAAGTTTTAGAAATACCAGATGATAAGTTTCCCAAATATAGATCCCAGACGAACCTGGTGATACACCCCACCCAGTGACTCATGTCCACCAGCAGGGGGATGTCCTCACATTCAATCTTGTCCTCCCAGTTTCTCATGCTGGAGCTCTCGTCCTCCGAGTCGAACATGAGTTTGTGACGATTGTAGTCGTAATACTGAGTGCTCTGTTCCACACTTGCTCCATTCATATATAATAAGGAGGTGAATAGTCACGTGACTAGGAGTGCTACTGTAAATTATGTGAAATTTGTTGTATTGATAATCGCACAGGGTTTTGTAGAATGTACATTAACCAGCCATGATGAGAAGGTGGTATTGATTTCACTCTAGTTTTGAAAAATAAAAAATATAATTAACAAAGATAGTTAAAAATACTGATGAACCATACGTTACTACAGTAAACAAAATGTTATAGCCATGCACACAATAGCTAAGCAATACAAATCAGGGAACCCGGAAATGATAATTTGTTGAATCGAGATCTTATATATTTATAATTATATAGTGCTGTGCTTTTATTTTTCTCTAAACATATCTCGAACATAGGCAAACAATTTAGTAGAATTATAATTACATGATACAGGAATAACTGTATAACTATTATACTTTCTCATTTCAGACAGCAACAGTACTCACTACTTTAGGTCAGTACGTCACAATCGTGTGAATAGC